AGGCTGCCCTCGCGCTTCCTCCCGGACTCCCGCCGCTGAAACAACTGCCCTGTCTACCTGTGACTCCACTTTCAGAAACCTATGCACCTGAATGCCAAGGTCCCTCTGTTCCACTACAGTCCTTAAGGTCCTACCATTCAGCACGAAACTCCTATCTTGATTTGACTTTCCAAAATGCAACACCTCACATTTATTGATGTTAAACTCCATTTGTCATTTCTCAGCCCACTTCCCTGGGCAGCATGGTGGCTCAGTGATTAGCATTGCTGCCTCACAGCGCCAGGGACCCGGGTTCGATTCCACCCTCAGGCGACTGTCTGTGTGGCGTCTGCACATTCTCTCAGTGTCCTCAATTCCCCATGGGTTTTCTCCGGGTGCTCCAGTTTCGTCCCACAGTCCAAAGATGTGCAGGCTAGGTGTATTGGCCATGGAAAATTTCCCGTAGTGTTGAGGGATGTGTACATTAGGTGGGTTATAGGGTGATGGGTCTGGGTGGGATGCTCTGAGGGTCAGTGTGGACTTGTTGGGCTGAAGGGCCTGTTTCCACACTGTAGGGATTCTATGATTCCCCAGCTGATCAAGATCCTGCTGCCATTTCTGATAACCTTCCTCACTGTCCATGATACTGCCTATTAGTGTCATCCACAAACTTACTTCTACATTCTTATCCAAATCATTGATATAGGTAACAAATAGCAATGGGCCCAGCACCAACCCTTGAGACACACCACTAGTCACAGGACTCCAGTCTGACAAGCATCCTTCCACTATTTCTCTCTGCTTCCTACCATCAAACAAATTGTGTATCCAATTTGCCAACCCTCCTTGGATTCCATGTGATCTAACCTTCCAGAGCAGCTTACCGTGTGGAACCTTATCAAAGCCCTTATTGAAATCCGTATTGATTACGCCTGCTGCCCTGCCTTCATCAACCTTCCTGATCACTTCATCAAAGAACTCTAACAAATTTGTGTGGCATGATCTCCAACACATGAAGCCATGCTGGCTACTCCTAATCAAACTCTGTCTTTCTAAATGCATGTCTATCTTATCCCTCAGGATCTTCTCAAGTAATGTTCTGATCACAGATGTTAAGCTTACTGGTCTGTAATTCCCAGGATTGTCTTTGCAGCCCTTCTTGAATAAGGGTGCAACATTCGCTACCCTGCAGTCTTCTGGCACCTCACCCATGGCTAATGATATTGCAAATATATCAGCCAGGGCCCCCACAATATCTTCTGTATCCCCTTGCAGGGTTCTTGGATATATCTGATAAGGTCCAGGAGATTTACCCACCTTCATGCATTCTAATATTTCCAACACCACCTCTTCTGTGATATGGGCTGTCCCTAAGATATCGCCACTAATTTCTCCAAGTTTCCAAGTATTCATGTGTTTACCATGGAGAAAGACAGAGGAGAAATATTTATTGCAGATCTCACCCATCTCCTGCGTTCCACACATACGTGTCCACTTTAGTCCTTGAGGGGCCATTTCACTCTCTAGTTATTGTTTTTCTTTTAATATGCATAAAGAGTTTCTTTGGATTCACCCTAATCTTCTCAGCCAAAGCTATCTTGTGCCCTCTTTTTCATCCTGCTGATTTCCTTTTTTAGTAAACTCCTGTAGCCCCTACATACCTCCAGGGATTCCCTTGATCCCAGCTGCCTGTTCCTGAGCCATGCTTCCTTGAATATCTCTTGTCATCCAGGGTTCCCTACTCCTGCCAACCTTGCCCTTCACCCTCAAAGGAACGTATAGACCTTGAACTCTAGCTATCATGCTTCTAAAGGTCTCCCACTTGCAGAGGTCCCTTTGCCTGCGTACAAGTTACTCCAATCAACCCCTGGAAGCTCCTGTCTAATTCCATCAAAATTCGCCTTGCCCCAATTTAGAACTTGAACCTGTGGACCGGTTTTGTCGTTCTCCATAACTATTTTAAAATGAATAGCTATGGTCACTGGTCCCAGAGTGCTCCCCCACTGTCACCTCAGTCACCTGTCCTGCCCTATTTCCCAAGAGTAAGTTGAGTTTTTGCCCCTTCCCAAGTAGGACCCTCCACATACTGCTTGAGGAAACGTTCCTGAACATATTTAACAAATTCCACCCTTTCTAAGTCCTTGACACTATGGAGATCCCAATCTACGTTAGGAAAATTTAAAATCCCCCAATATGACAACCCTATTTCTCTTTCAAGTTTCCTTGCATATTTGTTCCTCTAATTCCCGTTGACTATAGTACAACCCCAATAACGTCACCATTCCCTCCTTATTTCTTAGCTCCACCCATAAAGCCTTACTGGATGATCCTTCAGTTATTTCATCTCTGACCACTGCTGTGATACTCCCCTTAATTATAAATACAACTCCCCCCCCCCCCCTTTCCTCCACCTCTGTCCTGCCTAAAGCACCTGTACCCCAGCACATTAAGCTGCCAGTCCTGTCTGTTCCTTAGCCGTGTTTCTGTAATGGCTATAATATCCCAGCCCCACGTACCTATCCACGCCCTGAGTTCATCGGCCTTACATGTCACCCTCTTGCATTAAAATAGATGCAATTTAATCCAACAGGCATTCCTTGCTCCCTGTCCTGTTCCAACCTGACCTGTCTCTTCAACTTGCTATTTCTGATTACTGTATCTTCTTCCAGCCTCACACTTGTCTCCCTGCTGGTGAGGACCCCACCCTCCTGCCAATCTATTTTGAACCCTCCCTTGCAGCACTAGCAAGTCTGCCCACCCATGATATTGGTCCCTCTCCAGTTCAGGTGCAACCCATCCCTCTTGAGCAGGTCACCTCTGCCCCAGAAAAGATCCCAATAATCCAGTTATCTGAATCCCTGCCCCCTGCACCAATTCTTTAGCTACATTCATCTGCCATATCCTCCTGTTCTTACCCTCACTAGCACATGGCGCTGGAGGCAATCCAGAGATTACCACGGTCAAGGTCCTGGTTTTTAACTTTTTTCCTAGCTCTTGATAATCAATCTGCAGTACCTCATCCCTATTTCTACCTATGTCCTTTGTGCCAACGTGCACAATGACTTCTGGCTGCTCACCCTCCCCCCTTGAGAACGTTCTGCAGCCACTCTGAGACATCCTGGACCCTGGCACCTGGGAAGCAACACACCATCCTGGATTCCCATCAGCGGCCACAGAATCTCCTGTTTGTCCCCCTAACCATCGAGTCTCCTATCACTAAGGTCCTGTTTACCTTTTACTGTTTCCCGCCGTGTCCCAGAGCCAGTTGTAGTGCCACTGCCCTGGCTACTGCTGCTTTCCACTGAACAGTCATCCACCCCAACAGTATCCAAAACGTATACTTGTTTTCACAGGGGATTCCTGCACTCTCTGCCTCCTCCCTTTGCCTTTCCTGGTGGTCACCCTGCTACTCTCTGCCTGCATCTTAGGTGTGACCACCTCACTAAAACTCTTCTGATGATCCTGAGTGCATCTAGCCCCAGCCCCAGCTCGCTAACACGGTCTCCCAGGAGTACTTCTCACAGGTGTACTCATCAGGGATCACATCCTGCAGGAGGAGCATGCCAAGGCCTTTGGAAGTATTCTTCTGTTCGAAACTATGGCGAGTTCTAGTTTGAGTCCTGATTGCCTGCACAGTGTTCCTTGGAGTGAGCCAACTTGGAGGCTCCTGCAGTCCAATTAGGGACAGTGTGCAATCGCCACAGGTGGGACATCAATTAAGAGAATCCACGGCTAGGAAAAGTGAGCAGTGTTTATGCAGATAGGACTCCATGCAGGTGTCCTCTGAAGTCATTTTCAAATGTGGTTACCATTGTTAGACCTATCACCAAGGATGGGAACCCTTCTTGCCTTGGGTAGAACAGGCACCCTGTAATTGCTGGAAGGCAACACTATCCCCCCTTCCCCATCAATCTTAGGTTGGTAACGTCAGAAGTGCTGTTACCCTAGTTATCATTATTCCAGGCTTCCTTCATGTCTGGTGCTCCATAGCCTCCTGCAGTTCTAACAAGCCATCAATCCCAGTGACGCTGCTGGCCCGTCTGATTGGGCAGCCTCTTGGAGGCAGGGCATTATCTTGGAGGGAGACCGAAGCGGTGACTACTGCAATTTGCTGGACCACAGAATGGAATGTGATACCCAGATATTTATTCTTATGATGTGTTTGTTAAATATTCTTAACATTGGCTTGCTAGTGAATTGGTAATATTTCAATTACTTTTAAAATTAATCTAAGATGAATTAATCAATTAACCTCCTCCGATCAGACTGGAAAGTGTGTAGGAGTTTGTACAATTTACAGTTGAATATTTGGTGTGTTACACACTTAGGTAAGCTCCAATGTATGGAGCCAAATTAATTTTTTTTGTTGCAAAGAATACATAAGAAAAAAAGCCATAAATGTGGATCTCTAAATTTGAAAAATCTGTTGACATTGGGGTAACGGAATGAATTGTTTCCATGAAATAGCAACATGGAAATAAATACATGTCTATATCTCACCTGCATTGTTCCATTCTAGGTAATATACCCAAAAATCATGTGTAACCAGTGAATTTTTTTATATATAGATCAAATTCATTTGTGATTATCACTGCAAATCGCATCTTGCACTGCAATGCAGATACACCAGAGGAGATGCATCATTGGATAACATTACTGCAAAGGGTCAAGGGAGACACAAAAGTAGAAGGTCAGGAGTTTATTGTCAGAGGTAAGAATGTGACCATTTAAAATCTCAAAGTAATAAAGTCATCACTTTAGAGCACAAATGCATCCTGTTCTCAAGAAATAAATTTGTATTATAATCTGATTTTCCCTTGTTAATAGAACTCCATTACCCAGCAGTTTTATAACCAGTAGACAGGCTTACAAGATATTAATTTAAATTAAATTAATGTATAATTTCACCTGACACTTTCTGTGTTCTTCAAGGATTTCTGCAATGCTGATCTTTCAGTATCTGACGTGACTTTATTGCCTTATCCTACCCTATAAGATCCTTGAAATCAAGAGCCTGTGGATTTAAGGGTTGCAACTATTTGATTCGTGGGAGGACTTTTGGTTTAAATCCTTCATGGCTTCTCCTTGAATGCTTTCCAGTATTCTTGAATTGATTTACCTTTAATTAGCTGCTTCCAGCCCACTTTCTAAAGCTCATGTCAGTTTAAAATTGATCTTTGCCCCAAAACAACTACTCCTTCCCTATTTTCATCCTTTATCAAAACCATTTTATATCTAATTGAACTTTCATTAAAACATTCTCCTAATCATCCTACTTTCATCTGCCCAGTTTTGTTTCCCTAAAGTTAAGACCAGTGCTGTACAGTTTGTGTTTTTAAAAAGAAAACTGTTGCTGTTCACATTACGTAAGTTGTTTAATTCAGCCACATTTGGATAAATGACATAGTTCATTGATAGTGATAGCATCAAACATAATACTACATCGGAAACTAGTTTGTAAGAAACTAAAGGAAAATCAGTTCATCAAATTCTTAAATATAACTGGCACAGAATAGGTTAAAACTACGATGTCATTTTTGGCCATGTGTTTGCGGTCCTTGAAACCAGTTGTAATTGCAGTTTTCCCACTATAGGCTGTTGAATGTAACAACTTAGAGAATTCATTGTCAAAGTTTTCTTAAAAGCTGAAAAGTGTACTTGGGTGAATTAAGTGGAAGTATAATGATATTTCTTCTGTGCTTTAAAAGGATGGCTGCATAAAGAAGTTAAGAATGGTGGTAAATTCAGTTCCTTGAAGTTGAAGAAGCGTTGGTTTGTCCTGACCTATAATTCTCTAGACTACTACAAGAGTTCTGAGAGGAATGTAGCCAAGCTTGGAACCCTAGTACTGAATAGCCTCTGTTCTGTTCTGCAACCTGATGAAAAGATTTTCAAAGAATCTGGTAGGATTCTACTGTATTTCCTAAAGAATAACTGTCCTAAATTTCTGTTACACAAATTTTAAATAAATGTAAATTTTTAGAATGGTGATACTTCAAGCAGACATTGTTAGTTGGCTAGAGGGCTGTTTGTACAGTTAAAAATTATACTTCAAACAGACTAGGTTCCTGTTCTGGCTGAGGTAGACTTTGACTTACTTCATTACCTTATCTGAGAATTGAAGGCAATGGCAAAGCACCATTGACTCAAATTGTCAGGGAAACAGCCCAGGATAAGTCATCAGCAGACAATGAGCCAAGAATCTGTTTTAGGGGCAAAGACCTCTGAATGAATGATTGGTATTTTAGATACTGTGGTTGAATCTATGTTGAGAAACTATTCCTTGCAAAATCTTAAATATGACAACACAATTAACATCACAAAGTTGTAGATTAATATTTCCACAAAAATTATTTCAAATGTGCTGTTATTCAGAGCTTTAATCATCATAGGCACAACAGTACATTAAGTGTATACCAAAAGGTAACTTTTACATTACTTGCCCATTAATGAACCCAAGGGATCAGATGCTGATTTCAGTGGAGAATATTATCTGGTAGGATTAGGTTCAATGTTAGTTTTATATCCTATCAGTTTCTCAACAAATGATTTGATTAATATTTCTTCCAGTGTTTCAGCATTGGTTGGGTCCTGCTTGAAAATGTTTCCCCCAGTATGTCCAAATGACTTTTTTAACAAATGTAGTCCATGGCTAGTATCAGGATGTCAAATCAGTCCCTTCACATGAAAAAAGTTTGACACTGGTTCCAGTTTTTCACCTTGTTGCAGAGGCATGTGTTAATGCACAAATAGCTACACTTAGGACATTTTTATAGGAAGTCTGATTTTTCTCTTGACCTTGTTGCATGTTGCAATTTCAAGAGTGTCTACTCTCCTTTCTCGCTGCCATCTTCAAAGAAGAAGGTAACAAAATTTTGAGAGCTCATGAGAAGTTTGAAACCTTCTGCAAGGTGAATGTTTTGACACCCCATATGCCAATATTAGCAACTGAATTGTAGTGTAGATACATTTTTAATGCAATAGTTGTCGTAGAGATCTGGCTTGCAAAGGCAAGTTGTAGCTCACGTTCACAAGCGTTGCATAATTTTCACATGGATCGCAGTACTTTTCCAATGGAGAAAGTGCCATAAGGTATTTAAGGAAGTGCAGTTTTGTAGTCAATGGATGTAGTAGGCATGGCCTAAATATTAGGGCTTGGCTAGGAAACACTTCTACACACAAAGGATGGTAGAGGTTTGGAAACTCTTTCCACAGTTGATACTAGATTAGTTGTTAATTTTAAATCTGAGGCTTTTTGTTTTGTTAAGCAAAGATATTAAGGGATATGGGTCAAAGGAAGGTATATGGAGTTAGGCCACATATTAGCCATGATCTCATTGAATGGCAGAACAGGCTCAAGAAGCTGAATGGCTTACTCCTGTTCCTCTGTGTCATTATTCTGTGATGTGATTTATTTGAAGTAGCAGACCTGGCTGTTTTTCTGTTTCTGAAGGTAGGAAGAATGGTCTTCACCTCCCCTGCATTGTTTGACAAGCACTCTGCTTTAAAATTGAAACCTGTTCTGTTAGTGGAGCTGGGAACTTGTGTTGTGACAGCTGTCCATTATGAATGCTTGGCTTGGCTATTGATCCAAGAACCATTTGAAGCTTTTTATGAGAATATGACTTTAATATGCTTTCTTATTTATTTACAAACCTAATGGGGACTTGAAGGATTACAACTTTATTTCCCCACAAGGCTTTCTGCTTAAATATCAATAGTAATGAGTTTGAACTCGAGGTTTATTGGATGGTTGGAAATTTAATGCTTTTTTGATTATTTCGAAATAATTCTCATTGCTTGCATGGGTCTTGAGAACTATATATATTGCATACTGGATGAGTGGGCCTCTGGCCTTTAAACAATGTGGAAGCTGCGTTACTGTGGTGGAAAACTGAGGGGTGCATTGTAAATGGCCTGTCTTTGCATCATCAGTCCTCTCGCATTCCATCTTCGCTACCAAAGTACAGTGCAAACTTGATGCCTGTGTGAAAAGATGCAAAACCCCCATAAAGTCATATGGATTAGATGTGAGTGGAAAATCTTTCACAAAGAATTTGGCTCATGGATACCTTTCTGGCCATAAATAGTTCCATGTAATAAATGTAATAACTAAAACAAATAGTTGCATCAGTTTTGCTGCTACATATTCCCTACTATGTTTAATATTTGTTTGTTCTTGACTGACAGGTTATTGGAATATCACTATATATGGCCATAAACATTGTTATCATCTTTACACAAAGCTTCTGAATGAGGCAACGAGGTGGGCAAATGCCATCCAGAATGTTATTGATTCCAAAGCACCCATCAATACACCTACACAGCAACTTATTCAGGACATCCAGGTAAAGAAATAGATGCAAAGTTACTAAATATGTAAAATTCCCTCTGTTTTATCAGGAGTATAATTTAGCATTGGCTAGGTGTAGGCAAGCATTTATTGTCCATTCTTAATTGCTGTTAAAGGTGATGGTGAGCTGTTTTGAATTGCTATAGGCCATGTAGGCTAAATATACCCACATTGCTTTTATGGATGAAATTCCAGGATTTTGACCCAGCAACAATAAAAGAACAGTGATATAAAAGTCAGTATGGTGTGTTAATTAGAGAGGAACTTGTAATGTGGCTGTGGTTTCATGCATCTGTTGCCATTGTCTGCTAGATGGAAGTGAGGTTTGGAGGTACTGTTGAAGGAGCTATGGTGAGTTGCTAAAGTACATTGCTGCAATGTGTTGCATTTACTTTATTGTGCCTTGGGAATGGTGCCAATGATTTTGTAGATGATGGTTGAGTGCCATTCAGGCAGGCACAGAGTATTCCACCACACATGTGCCTTCTAGATGGTGATAAGCTTTGGACTAGTCAGGAGGTCCCTTGCATCCACAGCATTTATGTGGTTAGTCTAGTTCAGTTTCTGGCTAATGGTAATCCCCAGGATATTTACATTGCAAAATTCAGTGGATGTGAAGAGGACGTGGTCAAGATTCTCTTTTTAGTCAGAGATTATCATCAACTGGCACTTGTATGACAGGAATGTTACTTGTTTCAGAATCTGATGTGTTGCAAATGGGGTTGTGCATTGTGCGGTCATCACCAAACATTCCCACTTCTGAACTAATGATGGTGAAATGATCATTGATGAAGTAGTTAAAAACGATTGGACCTAGGATACTACGTTGAGGGTTTTATAGCAGAGCACTTAGAAAGCAGAGGTAGAATTGGATACCGTCAGCATGGATTTACAAAAAGGGTGGATGGAAAATTGATTAGCAGATGGGAAACAAAGAGTAGGAATAAATGGCTATTTTTCCAAATTGCAGGCAGTGACTAGTCGGGTATTGCAGAGTTTGGTACTGAGATCCCAGCTGTTCACAATACATATTAATGAATTAGGTGAGAGAACAAAATGTAATAACTCAATTTACAAAGCTGGGTGAAAGGGTGAGCAATGAAGAGGATGGAGAAACGTTGCAGTGTGATTTAGACAGGCTGAATGAGTGGGCAAATGCATGGCAGGTGCAGTAATAATGTCCATAAATGTGAGATTATCCACTTTGGGAGCAAAAATATGAAAGAAGATTATTATTTGAATAGCTGTAAATTGTTCAATGTTCAAGGATTCCCAGATGTCTTCGTGTACCAGTTGTTAAAAGGAGGTGCTCAGCAGGCAGTAAAGAAGGCAAACTATATTTCCATAGTGCTGTTTCCTAATTTACTAGCATTACCTCTAATTTTGTGGTTCTTGGTGCCCTTTACAAGCGGATTATCCACCTGCAAATTCTTTGATCATCTTTAACACTTTAATTAGATTACTTTTTAATCTTTAAGTGAATATAAATGGAGTCTGTGCAATGACCATCATAATTTCACCTTTCTGATGAATCTGCACCACAGCTATATCTTGAGCCATTGAAAAGGCTTTTTGAGTTGCAGTGATCACAACTGAATGAATTACTCCAGGTGTGCTCCACCCTGAGGTTTGTACAACGCAACATAACTACCATCTCTAATCATCTGAGCATTCAAGGTGTTAATATGAATGTCTTCTTCATTTTTAAATACTTTAGACTTTGTAAGAACTAGTATAGCCATTTCAGTGGTACTAATTTTAAGTATGAATCCTTCCTGAAAAGAATCACATTTCTGAGATAGGACAATTACACGTTGCATCCTTAAATCACTTTGCTGTCCAGTAAAGATCTGTTGTAAGATTCTGAGAAAGCATGGTTAGCTATGTTATGAGTGGTTTGGTTTTTTTGGGAATTGGAGAAATAAACTTAATTTTTTGTCCCCTGAATATCAGGAAAACTGCCTAAATATTGATGTGGTGGAACAAATCTACAAAAGGAACCCAATTCTACGTTATACACATCATTCACTGCATTCCCCACTTCTGCCACTACCATATGGAGACATCAATTTAAAATGTGAGTAAGGAATATCTGTTGTATAGCTCACAAAAGTCACATTTCTATAACACCTTTAATATTGTAAAATATCCCAGAGTGTCACAACATTGTCAAACAACATTTGATGCCAAAATACATAAGGATGGCTAAAAGCTTAGGTTCAAAGAGGAAAGAGAAGTAGAATGATTTAGGAAGAGAATTCCAGAGCTTAAGGCCTAAACAGTGGAAGGCACAACCACCAATGATGAAGCAATGGAAGTTGGAAACGATCAAGTATTATAGAGTCATAGGCTGGTTACAACACAGAAAGCAACTATTCATCCTGTTGAGTCTGCGCCAACTGTCAATGATAACAATTCAGCTAATCCCACTGCCAATCTCTTCTCCTGTGCCATAGAACATAGAACAGTACAGCACAGTACAGGCCCTTCGGCCCACGACGTTGTGCCGAAGTTTTACTCTAATCCTAAGGTCTATCTAACCTCCATCCCTATCTTATATTATCATCCATATGCCTAATTAAGAGCACTAGCTACCCTCTACCCCCTCCTGCAATGCATTCCACGCCCCAACCACTCTCTGAGTAAAGAACCTACCCCTGACGTCTCCCCTATATCTACTTCCACTCACTTTAAAACTATTCCCCCGCGTAATAGCTACCTCCACCCTAGGAAAAAGTCTCTGGCTGTCCACGCTATCAATACCTCTGATCATTTTGTACACCTCTATTAAGTCACCTCTCACCCTTCGTTGTTCTAAAGAGAAAAACCCTAGCTCTCTCAACCTTTCCTCGTAAGACCTTCCCTCCATTCCAGGCAACATCCTGGTAAATCTCCTCTGCACCTTTTCCAACGCTTCCACATCTTTCCTGTAATGAGGCAACCAGCACTGGACGCAATACTCCAGATGTGGCCGAACCAGGCTTTTGTATAGCTGGAGCATAACTTCATGGCTCTTGAACTCAATCCCTCTACTAATGAAAGCTAACACACCATTATACCTTCTTAACAACTCTATCCACCTTGGTGGTAGCTTTCAGGGAACTGTGGACATGAACCCCAAGATCCCTGTGCTCCTCTACATTGCCAAGAATCTTTCCATTAACCCTGTATTCTGCTTTCAAGTTTGTCCTCCCAAAATGAATCACCTCACACTTTTCAGGGTTAAACTCCATCTGCCACTTCTCAGCCCAGCTCTGCATCCTATCAATGTCCCTTTGTAACCTAGAACAGCCCTCTGCACCATGAATTGTTCTTTTGAAATGCTTATCCAATTCCGTTTGGAATGCCACAATTGAATATGTATCATCTTCATTGCAGTGCATTCCAAATCCTAACTACTCATTTCTTTTTTAAAAGAAAGTTTTATTTCATGAAACCTTTTGATCCTTTTGCTGTTCACTTTCAGTTTATATCCTCTGGTTCTCAACTCCCTCACCCAAAAGGTACACTATTTTCCCTCTTTTCCATCCAGACCACTCATGATTTTGAACACTTCTTTCAAATCACTCAACCTTCTAGAAGAAGCTGAGGCTATGCCCCTTCAATATAGCCAAACAACTGAAATCCCTCATTCCTTCAACCAGTCCTGTGAGCACATTCAACATCTTCCCAAATATCTTGACATCCTTACAAAAGTGCAGTGCCCAGAATTAAATGCAGTACTCCAGTTGAGGCTAAACTAGTGTTTTGTACATTTTTTTGTTTCTTTTTGATATCCTGTACCTCTATAAAGCCCTGGATTTTATGTTTTATTGACCACTTTCTCAATATGACTGAGCACTTCAATAATCCTTGATCTCTCCACCCATGCACCTCCTTGAGAATTGAATTATTTACTTAAGTCATCTTCTCACTACTATTTCATACTTCTCCCCATTTAAATTAGATGGCTGGGGGGGTTGGACTATTCACACCAACCTCAGTGTTCTCTTGAAAGCTCTTGCTGTCAACTCACAATACCTCCAGATTTTATGTCATCTGAAAATGTTGAAGTCACGCCCTTGAAAATCCAACTCTGGCTTTTTGATGTAGATTAGGAAAAGTAGTGATCCTAATACCAATCCATGGGGAGTTCCATTATACACCTTCCTCCATTCCAACAACTGTTCACCACAGCTCCTATCCCTGTCACTCAGTCAACTTTGTATCCATTATGCTATTTTGCCTTTTATTACATGGACTTTAACTTTGCTGATAAGTCTGTTATGTACACTCCATCAAGCATTGTTTGTAAGTCCAACTGCATTGCCCTCTTCAACTCAAAATCTTGCTCCATTAACTTCAAGACTAGAAGTACAAATTACTTTAAAGGATAATGACATTCCAATTTTTAGTGCTGATGTGGAGCTGTACCTACTAACCAATCCACTAAAACTGCTGATAAACCACCCATGATGTTCTGTGTATACATTTCACAGATTCATACAGTGCAGAAAAGGCCCATTGAGTCTGCACTGATATAACTACCACTAAAAGTCCACTAAACCCAATTTCCTGCACTTGTCCCATATCCTTGAATGTTATAATATTTGAAGTACTCATCCGAATATCTTTTTTGAATGTTGTAAGGGTTAGAGCCTCCACTACCCTCCCAAAAAGTATATTCCAGATTCTCACCACCCGCTGAGTGAAAAAGTTTTTTCCCCAAATCCCCTTTGCATCTCCTGCTCCTTACCCTAAGACTATGCCCTCTCATGATTGACCCCTCAACCATGGGGAACAGCTACTCTTTATTCACCCTGTCTGTACCTCTCACAATCTTATACACCACAATCATGTCTCCCCTCAGTCTTCTCTGCTGTAAAGAAAATCTGTCTAGTCCCTCCTTATAGTTCAATTTCTCCAACCTAAGCAACATCCTGGTGAACCTCCTCTGTACTCCCTCTAATGTTATCACATCCTTCCTGTAGTGAGGTGACCAGAATTGCACACAGTACTCCAGTTGTGACCTGACCAACACACTGTACAACTCCAACATCCTTGCTCCCCAGCCACCATCAGTTCTGAGGAAGGGTCACCGGACTTGAAACGTTAACTTGTTTTTTCCTTCACGGATGCTGCCAGACCTGCTGAGCTTTTCCAGCAACATTGTTTTTGATCCTTGCTCTTACACTCTATGCCACGACTGATGAAAACAATCTTACTCACGTGCTCTACCAATTTCGGGGATCTGTGCATAATTACCCCAAGATCCCTCTGTTCCTCTAAGCTACCCACCAATGTCCTGCCATTCATTAAATACCCACTTATCTTGTTCCTTCTTCCAAAGTGCATTACCTTGCACTTTTATATGATCTGCCACTGGTCTGCCCAGCTGACCAATCCATCTATAGCTACCTGCAACCTACAACCATCTTTTTTGCTATTAACCACTCTACCAATCTTGGTGTTGTCTGAAAATTTGCTTAACATTCCGCCCACATTTTCATCTGTATTATTTATGTATATAACAAACAATAAGGGTCCTAGTATTGATCCCTATGGTACACCACTGGCCTCCAATCACTCAAACAGCCTTCCACCACTATCCTTTATATCCTATTACTAAGCCAGTTTCTGATCCACCTTGTCAAGTTTCCCTCAATTCCATGTGCTTTAACTTTCTCAATCAGTCTCCCATGTGGAACCTCATCAAACTAAAATCCATATAAACCACATCAACTGAACTTCTCTCGTCTCCACACTTGATCACATTTTCAAAAAATTCTAACAAATTTGTTAGGCATGACCTCCCTCTGACAAAGCCATGCTGACTATCCCTAATTAACCCAAGCCTTTCCAAGTGGGTATAATTCAATCCTACAGAATTTTCTACAGTAGTTTCCCTGCCACTAACCTGAGACTCACCAGTCTGTAATTTCCTGGTTCATCTTTATCACCCTTCCTAAAAAGTGGTATCATATTAGCCATCCGCCAGTCCTCTGGCACTTCCCCTGTGGCCAGAGAGGAATTAAAAATTTACCTCTGAGAACATAAAACATAGAACTGCAGAGGAACAAGCCATTCAGCCCACAATGTTTGCTAAACATGATGCCAAATGAAACTAATCCCTTCTGCCTGCCATTGGACATATCCCTCCATTCCTTGCATATTCATGTGATTATCTAAAAGTCCCTTAAATACCCCTATTATATCTACCTCCACTAGTACCTCTGGCAGTGCATTTCAGACTGCTGCTACTATGTAAAAAATTGACCCTCACGTCTCCTTTGAATTTGCCCCCTCTAACCTTAAATGCATGCCCCCTAGTGTTAGACAGTTCAACTTTGGGAAAAGGATTCTGTCAAACGTGTCTATGCATCTCATAATTTTATAGACTTCTATCAAGTATCCCCTCAAGAGAAAACAACCTGAGTTTTTCTAGCCTCTCATAGAATGTAGAACGTAGAACAGTACGGCACAGTACTGGCCCTTTGGCCCATGATGTTGTGCCGACCTATTATCCTACACTAAGATCAAACTACCCTGCATACCCTACATTTTACTATCATCCATGTGCCTATCCAAGAGTCGCTTAAATGTCCCTAATGTATCTGACTCTACTCCACCACTGGCAGCGCATTCCACGCACCCACCACTCTCCTTTATAGCTCATACCCTCTAATCCAGGCAGCATCCTGGTAAATCTCTTCTGCACCCTCTCCAAAACCACTACATCCTTCCTGTAATGTGGTGACCAGAATTGAATGCAATACTTTAAATGTGGCCTAACTAAAGTCTTAAAACTGCAACATGACATCCTGACTTTGGAATCAATTCCCCAACCATAAATGCAAGCATGCCATACGCCTTTTTTACTACCCTATCTACTTGCGTGGCTACTTTCAGGGAACCCCTGCAAATTTCCAGCCTTGCTTCCCACGGCATTCTGGGATGTAATTCATCCAGGCCGGGAGAGTTGTCTGTTTTTAAACCTGACAGAGCCTCCAATACCTCCTCATTTCCTATGTCCAAACTGTGCAAGTTCCTCACATTCCCTTTTACTGAATTCCATACTTAGGTTCTCCTTTTTCAGAGTTAAGACCAAAGAGAAGTATTCATTCAACACCGTTCTAATGTCCCGTGGCTTCACACACAGGATGCTCCCTTGTTCCCTAATGGGCCTTCTTTCCTTGGTTAACCTCTTCCCTTTTAACGTATTTATATAATATCTTAGGATTCTCTCTAACCCTGTTCCCAGGTCCTTTCTCATGCCCCCTTTTTGCTCTTCTAATTGTTGTTTTAACTTCCCTCCTGCATTTCCTGTATTCCTGTAGGTTCGCAGCTGAATTGTATTCTTTGGACTTGCTAAAAACCCTACTCTCCTTTATCCAGTCCTAAATTTTCCTCGACATCAAGGGTGCTTTGAAATTATTGCTCCTAAATTTTCCTGTAAAAGGTTGGACCTGCACTCTTCCCTGCTCCTTTTTGAATACCTCCATTGCTCCACTGTAGACTTACCTGCAACGAGCTGTTCCCAGTCTAGTGCTGCCACATTCTGCTTTATTCTAATAAAATCTGCCTTCCCCCAATCTAAAGCCATCTTTTGCAGGTCATCTTTTTCCTTGGCCAGAACAAATTTGAACCATACCATGTTGTGGTTGCTGTCCCCTAAATGTTCCCCCACTGTCCCATTTCAACAACAAGAAAATTGAGGAAGCTCTTAAATTGGCATCTACTCTGATTCATTCAATTTTTCATTATCCACTCAACAGTGTAAAAGGGCATGTACAAGAAAATCTCCCATTTCTTCCACCATGGCACTAGCACGGTGGCTCAGTGGTTAGCACTACTGCCTCACAGCGCCAGGTACTCTGGTTCAATTCCACCCTCAGGTGACTGTCTGTGTGGAGTTTGCACATTCTCCCCGTGTCTGCGTGGGTTTCCTCTGGGTGCTCCGGTTTCTTCCCACAGTCCAAATATGTGCAGGTTAGGTGGATTGGGTATGCTAAATTGCCCGTAGTGTCTACGGATGTTTGGGTTAGACAAGGGGAATGGGTCTGGGTGGGATGCTCTTCAGAGGGGTGGTGTGGACTTGTTGGGCTGGATGGCCTGTTTCCATACTGTAGGGATTCTATGGGGATAACTATGATTCTATGAAATTAGAGATCTGTACATTTCCTTTACAATAAAACTTGGGAAGTGTTTCCAACATCTATTACGTACATTGACTTTGACTAATATCAATCCTGTATTTCTGCCGTCTGTTTTAGTATTAAAAGAAAAAGGCTATACAACCCTACAGGACGAAGCTATCAGACTCTTCAATTCCTTACATCAACTGCAGTCTGTTTCTGATCCAGTTCCCATCATGCAGGATATTTTGCAGACTGGGAAAGATCTGCGATCTCTACAGGATGAACTCTACTGCCAACTTATCAAACAGACAAACAAAGTGCCTCAACCGAGGAGCGAGTGCAACTTGCGCAGTTGGCAATTACTTACCTGCATGAGCTGTACATTTGTGCCAAGCCGCACTGTCCTGAGATACCTCAAATTCCACCTCAAAAGGTAAATATCACATCATCAATTCATTCAATCCAAGATAAAAATATCATTTAAGAAATAAGACAAGCTCTTGCATGTGGTGCTGTTCAACACAAATATCACTGATCCGATCTTCGTCTCAACTTTGCATAACCTTTGACTTCCCAGTGGTTCTAAATTCTTTCTGATATCCTAGAATATATTCGATGACTCAGCCTCTACAGCACTCTGGTTTAGAGAATCCCAAAATTTCATGACCCTTTGAGAGAAGAAATTTCTTTGGTCATAGAATTCCCTACAAGGGAGGCTTCTTTCAGCAAATACCCCGATAATCCCCCTCTGAATTGGCAGAGCATATGAATAGGATAGTCAAGAAGGCATATGGGACACTTGCTTTCATCACTCATGGCATTGAGTATAAGAGCAAGGAGGTAATGTTGGAGTTGTACAGAGTGTTGGTCAGAATACACCTGGAGTCCTTTGTCACCTCACTACAGGAATTATATGATAGCACTAACGGGGTACAAAGGAGGTTCATCAGCATGTTGCCAAGGATGGAGAAATTGAGCTATAAGGAGAGACTAGATAGGTTTTCTTTAGAGCAGAGAAGATTGAGGGGGGACATGATTAACATGTATAAGATTATGAGGGGTATGGAGAGAGTGAATAGAGAGTAGCTGTTCCCCTTGTTTGAAGGCTCAGTCACAAGTTTTAGGATAAGGGGCAGGACATTCAGAGGGGATTTGGGGCAAAAAATTTTCTTCACTCAGCACTGTTGTCTGGGAAGGTAGTGGAGGCTGGAAACCTCAACCTTTCTTAAAAAGAAATTGAATGAGTACTTCAGATATCATAACATTCAAGGATATGGGACTAGTGGACTTTTAGTCAGCAGTTATGTCGGTGCAGACTCAATGGGCCAAAGCAACTTTTCTGCACTGTATGAATCTATGAATGAATCTTGTATGTTTCAATAAGAGTCACATTTCACTCATCTAAACTCCGGTGAGTATATACTCAACCAGTCCAAGCTTTCTTCATAAGCCACACCATCCAAATCAACCTTCTCTGAACTACCTACAGTGTAAGTTTTGGCTTTCATTGGCAGGGGAATTGAGTTTAAGCGCCATGAGGTTATGCTGCAGCTCTATAAAACTCTGGTTAGACCACACTTGGAATATTGTGTTCCGTTCTGGTCACCTCATTATAAGAAAGATGTGGAAGCTTTAGAGAGAGTGCAGAGGAGATTTACCAGGATGCTGCCTGGACTGGAGGGCAGGTCTTATGAGGAAAGGTTGAGGGAGCTAGGGCTTTTTTCATTGGAGCAAAGAAGGATGAGAGGTGACTTGATAGACTTGTACAAGATGATGAGAGGCAGAGACTTTTTCCCAGGGCGGAAATGACTATTACAAGGTGGCATGATTTTAAGGTGATTGGAGGAAGGTATGGGGAAATGTCAGAGGTAGGTTCTTCACACAGAGAGTGGTGGATGTGTGGAATACGCTGCTGGCAGTGGTAGTGGAGTCAGATACTTTAGAGACTTTTAAACGACTCTTGGATAAGCACATGGAGAATAGTAAAATGTAGGATATGCAGGGTAGATTGATCTTAGTAGGATAATAGGTCAGCACAACATCGTGGGCCGAAGGGCCTGTACTGTGCCGTAGTGTTCTATGTTCTAAGTATATATCCTTAAATAAGAAGATAAAACAATGCACAGCACTTTGGACCTGGTCTTATCAACTTTGAGGATTCATAGTAAGCCTTCCCTACCTTTATATTCCATGATGTACCATCAACATTTCATTTGCCTACCTAATTACTTGGTACAGCTATTTGTTAACATGCGTTTCATAGGAGAGAATTCCATTAGACTTCCTGGGTAATTTGAAAAGCTTGACCTCAATGGAACAAACATGGCATGGGTTTTGTATATGGTTGTACAGGTTTTCTCATGCTGGCAATAGGAATACTGCAAATAACAATGGGGCAGAAATCCAGGATATTCCTCACTTTCCTAGTTCTACCTCTGTCATTTGTAATAACTTTGGACCACGACCAAGATCATTCCCTTCCCATTTACACATTCTTCTCCAAACCAGATCAGATAGCCCAAACCCTGGTGCCAGGCAAGACTGTTTGGTGCAGTGAACAGGGTCAATCCCCCTTATTATACAGCTCTGTACTACCACTACATTCCTTTATGATCCCCTGACTTTAATGATTTCCTGTCCCATGGTCAGTAACTAGAACAAATAACAATGCAGCACAGGAACAGCCCCTCCAAGCCTGTGCTGACAGATTTTGTCCTTCCATACTAAAACTGTCTTCACTTACAGGATCTGTCTCCCTCTATTCCCTTCCTATTCATCCAGGTGCTGCTTCAATGCTGCTGTTGTGTCTGCTTTCGCCACCACCTCCGGCAGTGTGATCCAGGCACTCACCAGTAAGTGTTTGCACTTTGTGTGAAAAACGTGCCTTGCATGTCTCTTTTAAACTTGTTTCCCCTTGCACCTTGAATCTGTGTCCCCTGGTAATTGACCCCTCCACCCCAGGAAAAAGCCTCATACTTTCCACTCTAGCCATGCCATTCACAATCTTTATAAACTTCTGTCAGGTCACCCCTCAACCTCCTGCATTCCAGTGAAAACAAACCAGTCTATCAAACCTTTCTTCATAGCTAAAATCCCCCATACCAGGCAATATTCTGGTAAACCTTGTACATTCTCCAATGCATCCACATACTTCTGGTGGTGTGGTAACCGGAACTGTATGCAACCGATCGATCCTACAGCCTTCTCTCTCATCCAAACAAGTTGGAAAGATCTCATCTGTTGGACAGTTGCAGCTGAGACTTCTGCACTCTGAACCTGCCTCACTCACAGTCACACACTCCTGTACCTAAGTATTGACAAATCAGATGATCCTATCTTACAGGGTATGACCACCTCCTTGAATTTAGTGTCCAGGTAATTTTTATCCTCCCTGATGCATCACTGTATCTGTAACCTGAACTTGAAACCACTGATCTTAGTCAAAGTTCTTGCAGCTGCAAACACTTACTGGAGTCATCCTTCTTTGGATCATACTGGTATCCAGAAGCTCCCATATCCTGCAGTCATACCACATTACCCTGTCAATTTTAATATGTGTTTACTAGAATTCAAAATAAATAAATGCTACACTGCCCCTTCAGTTTATTACTGTCAGTTATAGGTTTGTTCCAACACCACATTATCAAAACTGCTCTCATGCAAGTCATGAATGAAACCCAGGTGTTTGAGAAAGGAAAAAGTATTGCTTCTGTTTATTCTTCTCAATCTTTTCAACTCCTGCAATGCCTTCCCACCATCAACCCATTGGGTGATACTGGATTCACCTGGTTCCATGCCCCTCTATTTAATTGTAGCCAAAGAATTAACATCAGTGGCTTCACTTCTCATTCCAGAACTTATCTCTGGTGTCCCACATAAGTACATACTTAGACTACCTGACCACTGAGATCCTCAAGTTGGCAGACAGCATGGCCTGGGACAACAAGAAAACCAATCCCTTTTCTCAATTGCGTGCTGTTGCTTAATGACATTATCTGAAAACAAGCGTCAGTTTCACATGCATCCTCGAGCTGGAATCCATGCAACTTGCAGAAGTGCTGACTACTGGTCCGTTATTCTCTGGGGTGAGGAAATCAGTGTACAACCTATGACACAGCAGATAAAAATGGAGAATGCACTGATATGATCACAATCTGAATAAAATAGTCAGGTCTATAAATAACAAGTTTTATTGTTATAAATGTTAGCAGGTAACTAATTAGCAGTAAAACACACATAATAAGCAAAAAGCAATTGCACAGTTTGAGCAGTATTTAATTAGGCCTAAAGGGGAGGGAGATATCACAGGCAGGGGAACTTAATTGACTGTGAGCTGAAGTTTCAGTTTCTAGACTGAGAGTTTGAATGGATGGCATGTCAACATGCTGCCTAGTTTGCGAACATATAGGGTAGACCAATAGCAATTTTCATAAGAGTGGATAGTATTTGCGCCCTCAGATTTTGCAATTCAGTTGCAAGAAGGTATGGCTGGTGTTTTGTTCCTCAAATGTCAACACAGCAAGACAAGGGTGTCTTTAAGTATGGGGATGGGAAAAAGAGATATTGAGGGGAGTCAGGCTTTGGTTTACAGGATGGGGCCATTTGTTGCCACAGTCATGTCAAGAGAGGCAGCTGCATCACTCATGGCACATCACTATTCAAGAAAGGATGCTTGAGTTTGAAATATAGCAGATCCAGCTGTATGTCAGTGGTTTGCAAGGGAGGGTCGAAGAAAAGCGAGTAGAGGTAAGCTGCACAATGATGGAAGGGAGGTCAAGAAGGAGAAAGGTCAGTGCCTTTGGTTCAGATTTGATGGTCAGATACTGTGTTGATTGGGACAAAGAGCTGGCTATCTTGGAAAGGTCATATTTGAAATGGGGGAAAAAAACATGATGGTAAGTGCCTATGGAATCCAAGACAGGTTGGCAAACTGGATCCAAAATTGACTTAGCAAGGCAAAGAGTGATAGTGGAAGGTTGTTTTTGTAATTAGAACCCTGTGATCAGCAGCGTACCATAGGGTTCAGTGCTGAGACCCATGCTGTTTCTTGGATACGAATGTAAAAGGTGTAATTAATAAGTTTACAGATGACATGAAAATTTGTGGCGGTATTGACAGTGAGGAGGAGCAGCAGTGAGCCTCAGTGGTTAGCATTGCAACCTCACAGCACCAGGGACCCAGGTTTGAGTCCTCCCTAGGACAACTGTTTGTGTGGAGTTTGCACATTCTTCCCATGTCTGCATAGATTTCCTCCAGGTGCTCCAGTTTCCTCCCTCAGTCCAAAGATGTACAGGTTAGGTGGATTGGCCATGCTAATGTTATGCGCCAGACCAAACCCCCTCAAAATACATTAAGAAGACAGGCTAGACCCTAACTTTTTCTTATTTTAAAGGCAAGTGCCAGGTGTTGCATTCCGGATGCAATTTGACAAACTACCAGTCTTGAAATAAGGCGCACTTTTTTTTCATACGCTACACTAAAATATAACAAAAGAAAGATGAAATTGGAATATCTTTACTCTATTGGAAAACTTAACAGAATAATAGATTATTTAACTACTAAATAGTAACTGTTCCAATAACATCCCATAAACACATCCTTGGCAAAGGCAAATTCAGTAAAATAGATTGTCTTATATCCAAATCTCCAGACCAGGAGGTCAACACATCAAGAGAAAACTCAAAGAGAGAGAGTAGCAAGGAGAGATGTACTGCAGCTTCTAACCCCAGCTTCAAGATTCCAGCAATTGCTATTGAAAAACTAAAACTAAAAATCCTGGTTCTGTGGGAGCTTGACCACACCCATTTAGGCTGTTTGAATTGTTCCAACTTTTCAAAACAAAACCCAAGGCTCCACAGGCTGTTCACTTTATTGGCTTTGGAGCAGACTACCCATCACTTCTGTCACAACCTTTCTTCATAACAAAAAAAAGACAAAATACACCTTTTAAAGCCATAGTAACGTCACACAAAATTGTCCATAATGTCCAGGGATGTGCAGGCTAGGTGGATTAGCCAGGGGGCGTGCAGGGTTGCAGGGATAGGGTAGAGGGTGGGTCTGGGTGAGATGCTGTTTGGAGGGTCGGTGTGGACTTGATGGGCCAAATGATCTGCATCTACACTGTAGCAATTCTATGACTCGATGAGGATGGTGTCAAGCTGCATGCTGATGTTGATAAGCTGGTACATTGCACAGAGCTATTTAATCCTGATAAGTGTGAGATGATGCATGTTGGAAAGTCTAGTAAGAGAAGGATTTGCACAATGAATAGCAGATCCCAAGGGAGTACTGAGAAACAGAGGGACCTTGTTGTGCAAGACCGTAAATCCCTGATGTTGTTAGCACAAGTGGATAGGGTGGTGAAAAAGGCATACGGGATGTTTGCCTTCATTGGCCATGGCATAGAATATAAGAGCAAGGAAGTCTTTTACAGCTTTGTAAAACATTTGTTAGGTCACAGATGGAATACTGTGTGCAGTTTTGGTCACCATGCTATCAGAAGGATATGACTAAACTGAAGACTCACCAGGTTGTTGCCTGGGATGAATTGTTTCAGTTATGGCTAAGCTGGGTTGGTTTTCCTTGGAGTGGAGGGGGCCGGTGGGGGGGTGGGGGGGATCTGATTGAGATATACAAAATTGAGATATAGACAGATCGTAAGACTCTTTCCCCATCGCCCTCATGTCTAAGACCAGAGATCATAGGTTTAACGTGAGCAGCAAGTGGTTTAGAAGAGATCTGAGAAAGAAATTTTTTTGGCTAGATGGTGGTAGAAATATGGAAAACACTGCATGATGGAAGCAGATACTCTTGCAACATGTAAGAAGCATCTTGATGAATACTTAAAATGCCAGAGCATTGTAGGCAATGGTCCAGCTGGAGGTAAATAGTATTAGTGTAGCTTTGGTGTTTGTTGGTCGGCATCGACATGGTGGGCTAAAGGGCCTATCTCCAATGTTATGTAACTCTGTAACAGAGGGAGTGTGCAAGTGAATGTGTTCCAGTTTCTGTCATAGTGTCAGTGTCAATTGACATATCTACCAAAAAGAAACTGCTATCTTGCTAGATATTTTATGCTATGAAGAAACCTTTGTTTTGGAAAGACGCCGCTGGAGTGGGAGGAGTCCAGGTTCTGGCCAATGGGAAGTCATACATTTCCATTGATCAACAGCAGATGACACAAAGTTGGTGGTATGGCAAATAGCAAGGAGGAAGCCTTAGACTACAGGCTGGAGAGATGGTTAGGATGGGAGATTTAGATGTCTGGGACATTAGCACCCTTTTTAGGGATGGTAAGACCTGTACAAGGTGGGCAGTTTGTACCTGAACCAGAATGAAACCGGCACCTTGCTCGTGCTGTCAGGGAAGGTTTAAACTAACTTGGCAGGGGGTTGGGATCCTGAGAGTTAGTTGAGCAGTGGGATATGCACAGCCAGGTCTGCAAGAGATAACAAGTGAATCAAGAATAATTGGAAGTATAGGCCAGTTAAGCCACAAGTTAATTTGACAAAGCTGGATAGCGTTTATTTTAATGCAAGAAGTCTTGACGACAAAGGCAGATGGATTGACAGTTCAAATTAACTCATGGGGGATGATGTCATTGCTGTCACTGAGACATGGTTGAGAGAGACGCAGGATTGACAGCTCAGTACTGCAGGATATTGAGTAAAGAGTCAAGACAGAGAAGGAGGTAAAAGAAGAGGGGGTATGACAGTATCGATCAGGGTATCAACGATAGCAATAAAGAGGGTTGAAAGCTTAGAAGGCATGGATAGAACCTAAAAACCAAAAAGGAGCAATCATATTGCTGTGAGTGTACAATTGGCCCCAACATTGTCAGAAATACAAAAACAGATACATTTCAGAGAAGTGTAAAAGTAATAAAGTAATGATAGGGGATCTCTACTTTCCTAACATTGACTGGGTTGTCATAGTGTAAAGGGTTGAGAGGAAGTGGAATTCTTCAAATGCATCCAGGCAAGATTTTTTCAGCCATTAGGTAGAAGACACTACAAGAGAGGACTGGTCCTGGCTGGACAAATGGTGGAAGTATCAAAGGGGGAGCATTTCACAGGTAGCGATTATAACTCAGATTCAAGATGATTATGGAAAAGGACAAGGATGGGCATGAAATCAAAGTTCTAAACTGGAGTAGGCTGATTTTAATAAGATCAGGTATGATTTGGCCAGAGTGGACTCGGAGCTGGAGTTGATACTTCAGTAAAGCTATGTCAGAACAGTGGAATGTATTCAAGAAGGAAATAAGGAAAGTACGTGGCCAATATGTTCCTGTATAAACAATAGAGGATAAATATAGAGATAAAGGGTGGAAAAAACAAATCCAGCAAACCTTGGATGTTGAAGGATATATAGAATTGGGTAAACAGAAAAAGAGAAAATGGCAGATACTGAGGGTTCAAAACAGTAGAAGTCCTAGAGAGGTATAGAATGTGTAAGGTAGTACTTCAAAAAAAGAAATTAGAAGAGCAAAACAGAGCATGAAAGGATAATGGCTCGTAAATAAAGGAAAATCCTAACTTATTTTGCAAGTACATCAAGGGTAAGCAAATAACTAGGAAAAAAAAGGGCTCATTATGGAACACTTGGAGTTGGAGGATTTGAGTAGGGTTCTAAATGAATACTTCGTGTTTGCGTTTATTAGTGAGTGGAATGATTTGAGCATAGAAATCAGGAAAAAGGGTTGTGATATTATTAAAGAAATTAGTATAGAGAGAGGAGATTGAATTGTCTGGCAAGTTTAAAAGTAGATAAATCACCAGGGACAGATGAATTGTTTTGCAGGCTGAGAGTGAGTCAAGGGAGGAAATAATATGGGCATTGGCAATACTTTTTTATGCCCCTCTGACCACAGGAGAGCTGCCATAGTGAAGGAAGGAGAAGGCAATGCATTTGTGGTGGGAATCTGGGGGGCCTTCTCGTATTGCAGTAGTAGTGTCCCTACCCCTGAGCCAAGAGACCCACCTGCTCCAGAGGTGTGTAATAACATCTGTGAACAGGTTGATTAAAAAAAAGTGCGTGGGAATCTGGAACCCTGTGCCTTAAAGGATCATAGAGGCAGAAACCTTCATAATATTTAAGAAGTGTTTAGATGGGCATTTGCAATGACGAGGCATACACGGCAATGGACCAAGTATTTGAAAAAAGGATTAGTATAGTTAGATGCTTGTTTTTGACTGAGCTTTATTAGGCCTTTATTTGGACTTCTATAACACTGATATCAATAGGCCGGTCAGATAGGCTGAACAGAAGCAAATGGAATTCAGTCCTGAAAAGTGGGATGTGATATGTTCAGAGAGGTCTATCAAGGCAAAGGAAGTACACAATGAATGATAGGACCCTAGAAGCAGAAAGGATCAGAGGGGCATTGATTGTCAAGTCACACAGCAGGAAAGGTAAATAAGGTGGTCAAGAAGGCATTTAATTAATCAAAACATTCACTACAAGAGCAAGGAGGTTATGATGGAGTTGTACATAATGTTGTAGTTGTCATCAGCTACTGCAGAAAAGATGTGACAGAACTAGAGAAGGCGCAAGAAGATTCACCAGGATGTTGCCTGGGCTGGAGTGATTCAGCTGTAAAGAGAGTAGTCTGTTGTTTTTCTTGGAGCAGAGAAGGCTGAGGACGATCTGGTTGAGTGTACAGGGTTGTGGGGCGTGGACGTGATAGATGGGGAAAAGCTTTTTTTCCGTTTAGTGGAGGGGTCAATGAGCAGGGTTAAGAGCAGGAGGTTTAGAAGAGATTTAAGGAAAGTAGTTTCTCCCAGACTCACTGCCATAAACGGTGGTAAAGGCAGGAGCACTTGAGGCATTTACACGAGCACTTGAAATGCAACACCATTCAAGGCTACAGGCCAACTGCTGGAAATCATATTTATAATAGTAGCTCCTTGACCTGCAAGGACACATTGGGCCATTTTTTCTTTTTGTTACGTTAAAACTCTGATTCTATATATGCTGTCAACTGCCAGGAATTAACAAGGTTATGAACTAATGCATAAATGAAGGAATAGGTATGGCATGTCTCTGAAAAATCAGTGTTGGTGTGTTGACCTGAACAGCCTACTCGTCCTGTGCTGTATATTTCAATGATTCTCAATATCGGATAGGGATAGAAAAATAGGATTTATATACAAGCGTGAATTATCTCGTCAAAGCCTTTTCACTCATTAATTAGATGTGCTAAGATATTATTTTAACATATTTCAATTGTGGTTTTGTTTTCAGCTCACAAATAGGTTTGTTGTGGTATCTACATAAGATGATTCAAAAGTTGCAATTTGATTTCTTACTAGGATACGTGACCAATTTCAAGGAGAATTGGAAAAGTATGCAGTATTCATATATGAATCATTAAAGAAAACTAAAACCAGGGAATATGCACCTTCCCGAGAAGAAGTCATAGCTTTGATTAACAGGCAAGAGATGACCTCTACTGTTTATTGCCATGGAGGTGGTTCCTGCAAAATCACAATTAATTCTCATACAACTGCAGGAGAGGTAAGGCTTCACGATAGAAGAGGGCTTGTGAAGTTCCTTCTTTGGTTGCCGTGTTGGGAGCTGTTGTAGTCCTAAATGCATTGAAACATTTAATAAACCTTAGTACAAACTGGTAGGATGTTATGCGCAGCCTTGTTATTATAGCTATTGTAGAAGGGGTGTTCCTGTATCCTGTAGACAGTGAATTTGAATCATGCATAAAATGGCTAAACCAAATGGGATAGGTAGGCTCACTATCTCTTTGGCAGAGTTTTATACAATGACAAGAAATTAAAATGGAAAATACAAAATAACTAACTGTAGGAAATAAATAAAATTTCATTCCAATTGTTGCAGGTTGTTGAGAAGTTGGTTCGTGGACTGGCCATGGAGGACTGTAGAAATATGTTTGCTCTCTTTGAACATAAGGGTATTACTGATAAAGCAATTGAAAGCAAAACAGTTGTGGCTGATGTTTTGGCAAAATTTGAAAAGTAAGTGCACGCCCCTTTTTTCCAGATTCTCTTTCAGATCTGGTTGATGTCAAAGTAGCTTTAATTATTATCTGTTTGTAGCTGGAACGTAATAATCCATTAATCCCAGTATATCTTGTTCCATTGGTACTATACTACAAAGCTTTAGATGTGGCCATGTTGTCCTTATCCCAAAAGAGTCATCATATGACCCCCTTGGCCCATTATTTCCTGCAGCAGGATTTCAGTGTTGAGTAAGGGTTTCAACTCTGTTTTAAGATCTGTTTCATTTTATGATCCAATTTCCTGTCTAGGTGTTGACATTGTGTGCCCATTGGCAGGGAATCCTCCAGGCATATCTGCAACCCAAGGGCAAGCAAGTCAAGTGATCATTGGGGTGAATTATGTATGTAATGGTTGGGAGGCCTGACAACATTTCCATCCAACCATTTTCGGTTGTGAACACCTTACCAATTTAAGTGCACTACTGCTTTTAAAGTCATTCACAGCAACTAGGGACCAACTTGTGACACAGGAGCTTCAAGGTTGTTGTTCATGTTAAAAGAAACATTGGTTTAAGGTGACCACAAAGGGGTGAAAAATGATGGAGGAATGGGAAAAGGCAGAGTGGAAGTTGAAGCTGAGATGATTGACCTCCAACATCCACAACCATCTTCCTATATGCCAGGTATGACTCCAGTCATAAAATCCCTAGAGTGCAGAAAGAGACCATTTGGCCCATCAAATCTGCACTGACCCTCATGAGATCACCCCACCCAGAACAACCCTCTCCCCATCCCATCCCCATAGCTCCGCCTGAGGTTTTTACCATTGGTAACCCATCTAATCTGCACATCTTGGGACTGTGAGATAAAACCGGAGCATGTGGAAGAAGCCCACACAGACGTGCAGAGAACATGCAAACTTCACACGGAGATTGCTCTCAATTTCCATTGATTCCAGTTTTGCTAGGTCTTCTTGATGCCACGCTCAGTTGAATGTAGCCTTGATGTCAAGGGCTGTCACTGTCAACTCACTTCTGTAAATGTCTCACTTCTTTTGTCCATGTTTGAACCAAGGCTGTAATAAAGTCAGGAGCTGAGTGGCCCTGGAGGAACCTAAACTGGACATCACTGAGAAGGTTATTGCTGAGCAGGCACTGCTTGATAGCACTGTTAGTGACATCTTGCATCACTTTACTGATGATGCCGGGGCGGCACGATGGCACTGCTGCCTCACAGTGCCGGGGAGCCAGGTTCGATTGCAGCCTCAGGCCAGTGTCTGTGTGGAGTTTGCACACTCTCCCCATGTCTGCATGGGTTTCTTCTGGGTGCTCTGGTTTCCTCCCACAGTCCAAAGATGTGCAGCTTAGGTGGATTGCGCACAATAACTTGCCCACACTAATTTGCCCAGAATTGTCCATGGATGTGCAGGGTAAGTGGATTAACGATGGAAATGCAGAGATAGGGATAGGTGGGTCTGGGGGTCGCTTTTCAGAGGGTCAGTGAGACTCTAAAGGCCAAATGGTCTGCTTCCACACTGTATGGATTCTGTGGGGCCTCTACATCCTTCTGTGGTGGAGAATTCCACAGAAGTTTTTTTCTCATTTCAGAACTGACTGATCTGCACTCTATCTTGAAACTATGTCTCTGGTTATAGACTTCCCAACCAGGGGAAGCCCTTCCTGTGTCTCGTCTGTTCAGCCCTGTTGGAATTTTATACATTTCAGTCAAATCCAAGGACAGTCTGCTGTTAGCCTATTGAACTCCCTCAATGGAAAGGAAGATAAAGCGAATCCAGGCATATAAGTAATGAAAATATGGTGAAAGGAGGAATATTAAAAAAAATGAGGATTTACATGGGAAGTTGGAGAGGCAGTGCTGCTGTATTAAATGAGTGCTTTGCATCTGTCTTTATCAAGCAAGAATATAGTGCTGCCTGAGTCATAATGAAAAAGAAAGCCATTGAGATATCGGATTGGCTGAAAACTGATATAAAGATTGGAAAGGCTGACACCGGGACTATAGTCACCAGGACTGGATCAGATACATCTGAGCTGACCATTGAAGAAATAATCCAGTAACAACAGATCAATTAGTTTAACTGAGCGATGCAGAAACTTGTAATTTGGAACAAATCAATAATCATATTGACAAATGAGAATTCATTTAGGAAAGTTAGAAAGATTTTCTTAAGGAGCATTGTGCTTAAATAATTTGAGTGTTTTCACAAGGTAACTAGCAGATTTGATGAGCATATGCAATTAATGTGATGTACGTGGACTTCCACAAGAAACTGCCACATAGTATTCTTGTCTGTAATCTCCGTAGAATCAAAGGGACAAGAGGGATACAAAATGGCCTGACTGATTGGAACAGAATTGTCATGGCTGGCTATTTCTCTAATGGAAGGACACTAGATATTTGGGGCCCCTAAGGGTTGCTGTTAGAACCACAGCTTTGTTTATCATGAGAGTCAGAGGCCTACAGCTCAAAAAAGGTGCTTTGGCCCATCGTGTCCTTGCCAGTTAAAAAAACAACTACTTACCTATTCTCATCCAGTTTTCCAGTATTTGGCCCATAGCCTTGTATGCCTTAGCATCACAAGTGTACATCTAAATACTACTAAAATGAAACAAGGGTTTATGTCTCTATCATTCTTACAGGCAGAGAATTCCAGATTTCCACCACCCTCTGAGTGAAAATAATGTTCCTTTCATTCTTTCTAAATCTCCTGCCCCTTAACTTAAATCTGTGTCCCCTTTCATTGATTCCCTCCTAGTATGGGGAAAGTTTCTTCACGTCTACCCTATAAATTCCTTTCATAATTTTATAGAACTCAATCATGTCTGTCTTCAGTCTTTCCTGTTCCAAGGGAAATAACCCTAGTCTATCTAATCGCTTCATATCTAAAACAATCCAGCCCCATGATGTCATGGTAAATCTCCTGTGCACCCCCTCCAGTGCAGTCACATCCCTCCTATAACATGGTTTCCAGAACTGCACACATTACTCTAGCTGTGGCCTAACAAACTCTTTATACTGTTCCATCATAACGTTCCTGTGCTTAATCACTATGCCTCAGCTAATAAAGGCAAGCATCCCATAAGCCTTCTTTATCTAACTGTCCTGGTACTTCAATGGAACATGCACACCAAGGTCCCTCTGAACCTTGGTGCTTCACAGGATCCTTCCATTCATCATATATTCTCTTGCCTTGTTTGTCCTTTCCAAGTGCATTACCTCACTTTATCCAGAATGAATTCCATCTGCCACTGACCAGTCCATCTGACCAACCTGTTTACCACCCCACCAATATTTGTATCTTCTGCAGATGTACTAATCAATCATCCTAAATTCATAGAATCATTGAATCACAGAATTACTACAGTGTGGAAGCAGGCCATTTGAAACAGGTGTATAGACCTTCTGAAGAGAATCCACCCAGATCACCCCCCACCCTATCCCTGTAAACCTGCATTTCCCATGGCTTTTCTTTGATTTGATTTGGTTTGATTTGATTTGATTTATTGTAGTCACATACCTAAGTACAGAGAAAAGCTTTGTTTTACAAGCAGTACAGGCAGATGATAGCATTCAAGAACATACAGATCATAGGGTGCTTAGAGCAGGGTATACAAGGTTACAGCTGCACAGGAGGTACACAAAGCAAGATCAACATTTGCAAGATCTACATTATTTGAAGTTAGAGAGATCCATTCAGCAGTCCAATAACGGCAGGGAAGAAGCAGTTCTTAAACCTGTTGGTGCATGTGTTCAAACTTCTGTATGTTCTGCCTGACGGAAGAAATTGGAAGAGAGCATTACTAATGTAGGATAGATCTTTATTGACAGCCTTTCCATGGCAACGGGAAGTGTAAATGGAGTCCATGAATGGGAGGTTGGCTCCCGTGATGCACATCTTTAGACTGGGAGGAAACTAGAGCACCTGGAGGACACCCATAAAGACATGGGGAGAATGTGCAAACTTCACATAGTCTCCCAAGGCTAGAATCGAACCCAATCCCTGGTACTGTGAGGTAGCAGTGCTAACCACTGAGCCACATCTGAATCGTTTATGTATTCCACAATCAACAAGGTCCCAACAGTGATCTCTGCAGGACTTTACTGTGCACAGGCTTCCAGACACAATAACACTCCTCGACCTCAACATCTGGTTCCTACCAGTGAGCCAATTCTGGATCTAATTAGCCAAATTTCCTTTGATCCGATGGGATCTTATGTTCGCTTTCAGTCTCATACGGGACCTTATCAAAGGCCTTGGTGCAGTCCAAGTAGGCTTCATAAAATGCATTGCCCTCATCTATACATGGTCACTTCTTTGAACAATTCAGTCAAGTTGGTCAGACATGACCTCCACTTGACAAAACTATGCTGACTTTCTTGCCCAATCCCTGCGTCTCCAAGTGCAGATTAATTCTGTCGCCCTCAATTGTTTCCAATAGATTCCCCACCACTGACGTTAGATTGACTGGCCTGTAGTTTCCTGGTTTATCCCTCCTTGAATAATGTAACCACATTGGTCTTCAGTCCTTTGGCACCTCTTCTCTGGCGAGAGAGGAATTTCAAATTATTACCAGCACTGCTGCCCCTGTTGTTATCTATCTTATTGTATATTCATGGCCTAGATCTGGGTGCATGAAATACAATTTCAAAATTCACTGATATAAAACTTGGAAATAATGTACACTTGAGAGGATAGTGACAAACCTCAAGAAGGCACAGAAAAGCTAGTGGAATGTTTGTACACATGGCTGGATAGACATGAAAGGAAAAGGTGCTGGAGTTGCATTATTAGTTAAAGAGGAAATTAATACAATAGAACGTTAGATCTGACGATGTGGAATCTGTACAAGTAGAGCTGAGAAACACCAAAGGGTAAAATTCATTAGTTGGGGTTGTATATATGCCCCCAAACTGTTGGGCTGATGTTGGGATGGCATTAAACAGGAAATTGAAGGTGTATGCAATAAAGGAACATTTGTAATTATGGGTGACTTTAATCTGCAAATAGATTGGGAAAATCAATTAGTAACAATATTGTAGAGCAGTGGATAGAACATAGAATAATACAGCACAATACAGGCCCTTCGGCCCACGAAGTTGTGCCGAACTTTTCCCCTAATCCTAAGGTCTACCTAACCTCCACCCCTACCTTATACTATCATCCATATGCCTATCTAATAGCCGCTTAAATGCCCCTAATGAGGCCGACTCCACTACCCACTCCGGCAATGCATTCCATGCGCCCACCACTCTCTGAGTAAAGAACCTACCTCTGATGTCTCCCCTATATCTACCTCCACTCACTTTAAAACTATGCACCTTCATAATAGTTACCTCCACCCTAGGAAAAAGTCTCTGGCTGTCTACTCTATCTATACCTCTGATCATTTTGTACACCTCTATCAAGTTACCTCTCATCCTTTGTCGTTCTAAAGAGAAAAACCCTAGCTCTCTCAACCTTTCCTCGTAAGACCTTCCCTCCATTCCAGGCAACATCCTGGTAAATCTCCTCCGCACCTTTTCCAACGCTTCCACATCTTGGGTTAGGGTTAAGGTTCAGTTGCCAGAAGGACTAGAGTGCTAAGTTGACAGGCAAAAGAAGCAAATATGACATGAACATTTTTATGGTGCAACTGTTAGGATGTGGAATGTGCTGCTTCAAAGTTAAAAGAGAGCAAAATGTTGGAAATAGCATCAAGTCTGCTGCATCAATGGACAGAGAAACAATTAATTTTTCATGCCAAGGACCTTCAGAACTGAAGGAAGATGGGCATTGAGCAAAAAAAAATGAGGTGGAATAAAATGGAAGGTCTGTGATAGGGTGAGGTTAAATGAAAAAAAGATTTCATGGTCCAAAAGCCATGACCTGGCAGTGATTACCACAAAGAAACAAAAGGTTTATCCAGCGTAAGGGTGACTGGCAGAATAATGAACAGCTGTGTTTGAAAGAAACTCATGAAAGATATGATTAAGACTGCACAGTAAGGGTAGATAAATAAAAGAGAGGGACAGAGTTTCTGATCTGAAATTGTTGCACAAAATGCTGAATCCTGAAGGCTGTCAAGTGTCAAAACAAGACAAGGAACAGCACCTTGATCTGAAACATCAAATTGGATTTTCACCAAGTCAGGCTGACTTGGGGTCATTTAATGGTAGGTTAGACCTCAATTCCAGACCATCACCTCCATTCCTGTTTCTAGCTAATCTTTGCTATTGTTGTGATGTTGATGCAACAAAAGCGGAAGGATACAGGTAACCCTCCTACATGTAGCGCTCTTGCCCTTAGCAGCTCAATTCATGGGAGTAGGTAGTCCAGTGCCTTCCACAATTTCTGTGGAGTCATTCCATACAGAATGTATAAATGGTTACTGACCTGCTCGAGGAACCATGATTGACAAAGAATCCCGTTCCAGGTGGAGAGCAAGGATTTAAAAAAAAAATCACCTGGTGCTGGAATTACTTCATTGACAAATTTTGAAATAATATCTGTTGTTTCAGTTTCAGTAGTCTGATGCTGCATTGTAAGGCTTGAATTTTCATTGCAGGCGATCATATGGCTCTGCCCTGCGCAGGTAAATTGACCATTGCATTCACCAGCATTCTTTATAAGTGTTGACATGGATTTGTGTTCTTTGGGAGAAATACTCATTCATTTAGAACTGAAAGAAATACTGCTAAGTAATGATCTAAAGTGGCATCAGGTTCACTTCCATTTTGCAGCTGGCCCAATACCATATCAACCCTCCTCGAGGCCAAAATAGTGTCTGCAGGGGCCCTTTATATGGAGGCAGGTCTGCGGAGTAAGAAAATCTCCTGATTCAAACTTCCCATCTCATCAGCAAAATCCAACATATTACTTCTGTGTCACTTTGTAACAATGTTCTTGTTTTGTGATTTAGGGGGTTATTTTGGTATTAGTAGCATGACTGTTTCAGTCAACCCTCTAATATATTACAGTGGAACCCAAATTCCAAAGGGATCTTAAGCTTTGTGCGACCATAACTTGAAAGGTAAAAATTGTTGTGTTGTTGGTAGTTTCCTCCTTGTTTGATAAAAGCAGAAAATCTGAGGGACGTGACTGTAATGGGAGGTATCAGGGCTCTTTGAGCCAGGAGATTTCATCCTGAGCCTATGGGTGAGTCAGTAGAGTTTTTGGCTATATGAATGTAAGATGTATTGACATTTACCAATGGTGACAGCAGAGCCTAGGCCAGGTCGTAACTTTTGACCACTCTGCTTTCGCAAAATGTAAACAATATGATTAGGAGGCTGATTGTGATACACCTGAAGTAGTGCATGCTATTCCTCAGCAATGCAAATTAAGTAACCTCCCACTGACCCCACAAACTCTCATGTATGGTTAACACTTTGATGTGATTTATAGAATTGCAATTAACTTTGGGGCTGTTTTGATACTGTTCAATACATTAGCTGCTTCGAACAGTAATTTTTTTTTCTGATAGACTGCAGAAATATTGTGCTTGTCTTGTTTTTGTACTCAGGGATACTGCTACTTCTGAAGATGATAATTCATGGAAATTCTACTTCAAACTCTATTGTTTCCTTGACACTGATAATGTGCCAAAAGATAGCGTGGAATTTGCCTTCATGTTTGAGCAGGTATGTCCAAAGAAATAGTTAAAATAATTAACAGAAAAGCAAAGACTTTTTTGGAAATTTCATTCTTGAAATATAAAGTGACTCCAAGAATTTGTAACAGTATTTATTCTATTTACTAAATGGATATAATTACTTAGTAATTTAATTATCGTCAATAATTGTGGGTCCATATGAATTGTCATAAAGACTGGATCCGATTTGCCAAATTTCCTTGGATCTCATGGGCTGTTACCTTTGCTATCAGTCTCCCATGTGGGACCTTATCGAAAGCCTTGCTGAAGTCCAAGTAGATTCCATGAAAAGTATTGTCCTCATCTGCACACCTGGTCACCTCTTTGAAAAATTAAATCAAGTTAGTCAGACCTCCCCTAACAAAATCATGCTGACTGTCCATGATTAATTACTGCCTGTGCAAATGCAGATTAATTCTGTCCCTCAGAATTGCTTTCAATCAGACCTCCCCCAGCCCCAGCCAGGTCATTGATCCCTCTATCAAGGGGAAGAGATCTTTCCTGTCTATGCCCCTCAATTTCATGTCTCCCTCGATCTCTCCTGCTCTAAGGAAAACAGCTCCAGTCTATCCAATCTCTCTTCATATCTAAAACTCTTCTCTGCCCAGGAAACATCCTGGTAAATCTCCCGTTCACCCTCTCCAGTGCATATGTGGAAAAATGTGGTTGATACTATTGTAATAAGCATTATTAATTTGTTAAATTTAAATTTCAGTTTACAGTCTGAGATGCAATAAAAATGATAGTAACTGCCTGGTTCAAATCTTCTAGTTCTATTCACATGATTTGGAAACATGATAACTGCGATTTTAATAGTCTGTGTGTTTCGAGTGATTACTCCTCTTTAATGCATGTCATATTCTGCTCATTATAACCCAACTTTGTCAGAATTAAATTTACCTTTCCTATTAAGTAATCGGAAGTTGGAGAGCACACAGGTTCATGACTGCTTAACTGTGGCAAATAACAGGCACGGCATTTTCCTGGTGAATTTGTACTGAGTAGGAGCTGTTTTTCTTCCCTCTTTGGGGAGCTTTCTTCAACTGCTGAAGAGAATGCATTGATGATTGAGATGAAGTGGCAACAAAAGGGAATAAACTGTGGCTGACAGATGAAAGAAGTGAGGTGATAACAGCTCCAGGGGCCCCAAGGGTAGTGTGGGTGTGACAGCAGTTACAGTCCATAGCGCCTCTTCTCAAGTGATGAGATTGCTGCTCCTGGCTTGCAGGGAATGAATGTCTCTCCAAATACACTTTGAAAATGGTGCCCAGACATTAAACCTTAATTGGTTAAGTGTTTAATGATTAAGTGATGATTAAAGCTTGTTCAGTAATTTGTTAACACTACAACTCACCTGATTATTACACTATATTAATACACTATTATTTAACGACAGAAATGATAATTCACAGTCGGGACTATTCGGCCCATCCAACCTAAAGACACTCAGATGCTCTAACACCATCTAACACCAGTGCTAACCACTGAGCCACCGAGCCACCTTAGCAAAGTTGAATTCTATCTGCCCCCTTCCTTGCCACTCCACAAACACATCTATTGGGCAGCACGGTGGATCAGTGGTTAGCACTGCAGCCTCACAGCGCCAGGGACTTGGGTTCAATTCCACCCTCAGGCGACTGTCAATGTGGAGTTTGCACATTCTCCCCATGTCTGCATGGGTTTCCTCTGGGTACTCCAGTTTCCTCCCACAGTCCAAAGATGTGCAGGTTTGGTGGATTGGCCATGCTAAATTTCCTGTAGTGTTCAGGGATGTGTAGCTTAGGTGGGTTATAGGGGGATAGGTCTGGGTGGGATGCTCCAAGTGTCAGTGTGGACTTGTTGGACCAAAGGGCCTGTTTCTACACTGTAGGGATTGTATGATTTTGAGCTTTGGGGCTTACAGCTATTCTCCACACAATCCACTTTTTGTGTCCAATTTTTGTGTCGTCTGCAAATTTCCCAATAGTGCCCCCCATGTTCAAGTCCAAATCATTAACATATAACACAAACAGCAGGGGTCCCAATAGTGAGCATGCAGAACTCCATTTGAAACAGCTTTTAATTTGCAAGGACAGCTATCAACCTTTGTTTACTGTTACTAATCCAACTTTGGATCCAGTTCAACATATTACCGTGTATCCCATAGGCTTTTATTTTTTTGACCAGTCTGCCATGTGGGACCTTGTCTAATGCCTTACTAAAATCTGTGTAGCAACATGCACTATACTACCCACATTGATCCTGCTTGTCACTTCAAAGAATTCAATCAGATTTGTGAGGCATAACCTACCCTTAACAAAGCCATGCTGACTATCCCTGACTAGTCATTCCTTTTCAAATGCCAATTTATCCAATCTCTCTGGATTGGTTCTAACAATTTGCCCACTACCACAAGTAAGACTAACTGCCCTATAATTACTTGGCATTACCTTTGCATCCTTTTAGAACTATTTTCTCTTTGATTTATTTCAACATGTTAGGGAACAATCCACCCAGCCCTAGTGACTTATCTACTTTCAAGAATTCCAACTCCTAATACTCCTTTCTTGTTATGGTTATTTTGTCCAATATTTCATACTGCTGCTCATGGATTACTATATTCATATCATACGGAGACAAAAGAACTCATTCAAAATTCTTCCCATATCCTCTGCATCTTCATCTGTGATAGGTCCCACTTTTCCCTTAAATATCCTTTTTTGTTCTTTATATACTGGTAAAACAACTTTGGGTTTTTCCTTTATGTTGCTTGCTTTACTTGATCCGTGTGCCTTCTATACTTCTCTAGGCTATCTGCAGTGTTGAGTTTTTTTGTGGCTACCATAAGCTTTCCTTTTAACCTTCCCCTGAATTTTTCTAGTCAACCATTGGAGGCTAGATTTTGCAGTACCATTCTTTTTTTGGAGGGGACATGTCAACTTTTGGGTCCTAAAGATCTCATTCTTTAGTGCCTGCCACTGGTTTACCACTGATTTGTCTGTCAGCAGTCCCGTCCAGTCCACTTCAGCCAAATTACTTCTCTGTTTTGTAAAACTTGCCTTTCCCCAGTTAAAAACTTTTACTCCTGATTTGTCCTCTGTCCTTTTCCATAATAATACTGAATTGTGGTTCAATCCCCGATATGGTTGCACTTGCCCATCTTCATTTCCCAAAACTAAATTCAGAATTGCCTCTCCTATCATTAGGCTTGTCATGTATTGTTTGAAAAAAAAATCCTGAACATAGTACATGAATTTTTCACCCTCAGTGCCCCTTATACTGTTTGAAATGCAGTTGATATTGGGATGGTTAAAGTCTCCTACCATTATTGTCCTATTATTCCTACAGGCAAAAATTTGTCTACATGCATGTTCTTCTATCCCACTATCACTATTTGGGGGTCTGTAGTATAATCCTACAGTGTGACTGCCCCTTTATTATCCTAAGCTCAACCCTTAAAGCCTCATTTGTTAACCTGTTTAGTATATTATCTCTTCTCACAGCTATAATTGACTCTTTAACCAATATTGCTACCCGTCTTTTTTTTGTTACCCACTCTAGCCTGCCTGATATCTATATCCATGGATATTTAGCTGCCAATTTTGCCCCTCCTTTGGTCAGGTTTCTGTTATAGCAATGACATTGTGCTGCCGTTTGTCTATCTGTGCCTTTAGTTCATCTTCCCTGCATTGAAGTGTTAACAGGTCAACACTATCAATTTCCTTTGCTGGCTGCATTTTAATCCCAGCTTCCTCTGTCTTTGAATCACCAACAAAGCACCCTTCCCATTCCTGATTTGAATCTGACCCATCTAAGCCTATGCTTTGGTTCCTATGCCCCACCATATTATTTTAAAACCTCACCCAATGGAACCAGCAAAAGCTCCTGCAAGGGTATTTGTCCAGATATACCTAGGTGCAACCTGTCAGGCTTGTATAGGTCCTACCTTCCCCAAAAACAGTCCCAGTGCCTCAAGAATTTATACACCTCCCTGGTACACCTTTTCTCAAGCCATGCATTTATCTGATCTATCCTCTTATTCCTATTAGCATGTTACACTTACTGCAGAAGCCCTGCATTTTAATTTATCCCCTAATTTCCTATATTCAGCTTTCAGGACCTATGTCGTTGGTACCTATGTTTGCCTTGAGCACTGGCTGTTCACCCTCCTGCTCCAGAATGTCCAGCGGCCACTCTGATATCCCTGACCCTGACACCAGGAAGGCAACGTATCATCTGGATTCATGTTTGCATCCACAGAAACATCTTCTGTACTCCTTACTGTTGAATACCCTATTATTATAGCTCTGCCATTCGTTTTCCTCCCCTTCTGTGCACCAGAGCTACCCGTGGTGCCATGAACTTGACAGATGCTGTTTTCCTTGATTGGCTGTCCCCCTCCCTGCCCCCTCCATGTCCACAACAGTGTGCAAAATGGTATATCTATTTGAGAGGGAGATGACTACAGGGGACTCCTGCGTTTCCTTCCTGAGCCTTTTACTTTATCTGATGGTTACCCATTCCCTTCCTGCCTGTGTAATCCTCATTGGTGGTGTGACCACCTCACTAAATGTGCTATCCACGACATACTCAGCATCGCACATTCTCCACGGTGAGTGCACCCACAACTCCAGCTCTGAAAATCGGTTAGCCGCTGAATGCTCTTCTTACAGACGTAGTAGTCAAGGACACAGGAAGCATCCCTTATTTTGCACGTTGCGCAACAGGAGCACACCGCAGGTCTGAGGTCTCCTGTCGTGACTTCTCTCTAGATTAAGCTAGCTCTTTGAAGAAAATTTAAGTAAGCTCAAGCTTAATTAATCTTCCTTCATTTCAAACATTTCTATTGTAATTGAAAGCTCCTATCTTTATTTAAGCTAATACATATTATGCTTTAAAAGCACTTGCCAGCTGGCTGCTTCTGTTTGGACCATGTCACTTTCTGAACTGCCAGGACAGAGACTGAGCACCACACTCAGTCTTTAGCCAAGCAGCACTCACAGTGCAGCAATTCAACCTCTCATCTTACCAAATTTGCCAATGAGGCTAGCCATCAGGGACACTCATCAGGTAGACAAACAGGAGGCTGGAAGAACACAGCAGGCCAGGCAGCATCTGGAGGAAAGGGGCAGTCAATGTTTTGGGTATTATCCTTCTTCAGGACGGACTTCTTTCCTCCAGATGCTGCCTGGCCTGCCGTGTTCTTCTAGCCTCCTGTTTGTCTGCCTTGGATTCCAGCATCTGCAGCTTTTTGTCTCTAACTAGGAATATTCATCAACTAAACCAGAATGAGCACCTGACAGATTCAATTTGCCACATGCTCTGAATGACCTCCACATTGAAAACCAGGCACCAACATCTCATAGCACACTGTAAATTCACAGGCTACGCCTGCACCCAATGTACATGGACAGTGGCATCCTGCATTCGTGGACATTGGCATCTGATATGTGCCGCCCTCTGAGCTTTAATGGTACATCTCCAATCCACAGACAAGATGCTTCTGTATTTCAGTGCTGCACCAGTAACTATTATTGTAATGCTACAACAAGGACACTGTGCACTGAGGGGCACGGACCTAGCCTCAGCCTATGGACTTGACCAGGCTGCATTTTTTCTGCACTCTTGACTTGCTGTTATAACATTCACTTATTCTGAGTTTACCAGGATGCTCAGAGCATACCTACCTTTCACTGCCTTGCTTTGTCATTTTGTGTTTTGACCCTCGGCTATAGATAACAGGCTTACAGCGCTATTATATTGGCATGCCATTTGGGCAGACACAAAGCTAGGCTTGCCAACATTGTCAGCAGGCCTCAGTCAAGTCAAGGAGGATTGCCTTGGGGTCCCAGTGAGTCAGGGGCAGCCTTCACTACCATTCCAGATCCTGCTCAGGGCAGTAAGAGTCAGGATCCTCCCCTCATAAGGGGTGAGGAGTGAAATGTTGGACAACGCACCACCCATCTTGAGGATGTCCTCTTCATGGAATGAGTGTGTGGCAGGTATTACAGGAAATTAAAATGGACTACATAGTTATTACTATTGGTGCACTTGGAGAGGTGATCCAATCGAGTGAGTAGGCAGCACTGAAGATGTGCAAGGTTAATGGTATTGGGGTTGGGTGTGAGAGATGAGTGTCAAAAATGTTCCCAGCAATACTGAGTAGTAGGGAATGAGCCTTAGTGGTAGGTGGGGCCATTACCTGAGAGAGAATGAGTGTGAGATACTGGAGAGAAGATGGTAATATTTACACAGTTGGAGTGGGCAAGTCTGTTGAACTACTACTTATGTTGCTGAGCATTCCTACAGACAGCTGAGAAACTTTAAGCTGGGTGGCCTCAGACTGGGATGGCATGGTCTATTGCTGTGGCCTCCACTATTGGTCCTGGGGAGGAGGAAGTCCCATGTCACTCCATCCAGCAAGATCTCCAGGATCTTGCCTGGGTCAAATGCCAACTCTTGGAGAGTCTCAGGCCAGGGAGCATAATCGCAGAATCAAGAGGTGCCAATTTAAGACTGGATAAGGAGGAATTTCTTCTCTAATGGTTGAGTCTTTGCAGTTTCTTGCCACAGTGAGCTGTCGGGGCAGAGTCCTTGGATCTATTTAAGGCTGAGATAGATAGACTCTTGATCAGTGGGGAAATCGATGGTTTTGGGAAGAATGCAGGCAAATGGACATGAGAAGCATTGGATGAGCCATTGAATGGTGGAGCAGGCTTGAGGGACCGAACAGTCTACTCTTGTTCTTATTTCTTATGATCTTCTGGTCTAACTTATCAAAAAGGTAAGATTCACCCCATTAAAAACTGTTAACAAGAGTTCATAGAAGTGTTTTTTGATAGGAAAACAGTAACAAAAGCAAAAGTAACAAATTAGTCCTCAAGATTGAGAGTCTGGGGAACAATTAATGGAAAAGACAGAACTGGTCGAAGTGTTGAACAAGTATATTCAGTGTAGAAGACTTAGAAAACTTCCCAAATATTCTTCTTAATCAAAAGGTGAATAGGTGATAGGAACTTAAAACGATTACCATACTGTGGGAAGCGTGCTGAGATAATTGTTAGACTTTAAAGGCTGACTAGGTTCCCACTCTTGAAGTTGCCACTGGCATCTATACAAGTATGCAGATTTGTTGTAGTAGCTCCATTTTACAAATCGGTTGATATTTGGTGAAGATACACTGCATTTTGTGAGCTGAATTAAAAAAAAACCCTTTCTGCTACTAAGTTGCAAATTTTATGTGATTTGTGATTGTTTTATTGATCCCAGATCATGAATCAAATATGCCATCTGATTACTGCTTGTTTATCTCAAGATTCACACATCTAGTTTGCTCTGTTCTGATGATTTTCCATAAGCAAGCAGCCAATAACAGATTTGCAGAATGAACCAATGTCATTTCCAAGTAGACCACACTGGTGCTCTGAATGTTCTTGAGTAAACCGTATGTGTATATCATTTCAATAGATGGCAACTCCTGAGAAGTAGCTTGAGGCTGCCATATACTCTCGTTTAATGTGTTCCTCTACAGAGTGAGACTTACAAACAGGAAGTTGTTCCTTAATTTACTACTAACTAGTCCTTCTTTCAGTCATGTACAAATGTTTTCGTTGCTTTATTGGAACTTTCTGCTTTTTAAATTAAGCAACAATAAATTATCACAAGCTGTTCACCCTGAGTGAAAAAACTTCTTGTTTTGACCTTAAGTAATGGACATATTTTTTAAACTGTCTCCCCAGTTCTTGTCTGTCCCAGAAGGTGAATTATCTTTTCAGCATCCATTATGTCTCCTCAGGATCCAATGTTTCAATGAGATCACTCTCAGATCTTTTTAAAACTTTAGTGAACACAGGTTCCAGCATATCCAGATTTTCTTCATAAGATAACCCTTTCATTCCATGAGCACAAAAATAGGCAGAATGGCAGATTGTGAGGGAGATATGAACAGTTTGCAGAGAGATATTGATAGGGTAACTAAGTGGTCAAAAAGTTGACAAATGGAGTATAATTTTAGAAAATGTGAAGTTCTTATTTTTGAAAGGAGAAAAAAAAAGAACAGTGTTATTTGAATGGGGAAAAAACTGCAAAGGCTGCAAAAGAAAGGGACTTGGGGGTACTTAGTCACATAACAAAAAGCTAGCACACAAGTACAGCAGGCAATCAGGAACGCTAATGGGATATTGGCAGTTATTTCAAGGGGTTGGAGTGTAAGAGTAGGGAAGTTTTACCACAGCTGTACAATGTGCTGATTGGAATACTCAGTGCAGTTTTGGTTTCCTTTTTAAGGAAAGATATAGAGGTATTATTTCATTGGAGGTAGTTGAAAGAAGGTTTACTAGAATGTTCTCTCATACAGAGCAATACTCTTATTAGTAGAGATTATACAAGTTGGGACTGTGCTCACTGGAGTTAAGTAGAATGAGAGGTGATCTCATTGAAATGTATAGAATTCTTAAGGGGCTTGACAGGGCAAATACTAAGAGGATGTTTCTCCTCATGGGAGTGTATAGGAGCAGAGGGTATAGTCTCAGAATAAAGGAGTGCCACTTTAAGACTGCGATGAGGAGGATTTCTTCTTTCAGGGTTGAGAGCCTTTGGAACTCCTTGCGCAGACATCTTATATATATTTACAGCTGAGATAAATAGACACTTGATCAGTAGGGGAGTTGATGGTTACAGTGAGAATGCAGGAAAGTGGACGTGAAGAATGTTGGATGATCCTATTGAATAGCAAAGCAGTCTTGAGGAGCTGAATGCCCACTCCTGTTCCTATTTCTTATACCTCATGGAATCTATTGAGTGAACTTTCTCTGAATTGCTTCTAATGTAATTCTCTTCCTCTTCAAATGAAGAGACTGAAACTGGAGGCAGTACTGCACATCTGTGGTCTCTTCAATGCCCTATACAACTGCAAAAAAAATTTCTAGTTAGATATTCCATTTCCCTTGTAATAATAATTTGCCCTCACCTACTGTATCTGCTTTTTTTGTGGTTCATATAAATTCTCATTCCTCTGTGTTGTGAATTTTTTCTCAATTCTTATGACTATTTAAGGTTATGCTTAATCAGTTAATTCACAATACGACATGCTTAAAATTTTAATTTTCTGTTCTTTATTTTGACCATTAGGCTCATGAGGCTGTCATTCATGGTCACTATCCTGCCCCTGAAGAAACTCTTCAGTATTTTGCTGCCTTGCGATTTCAGTTTCTGCAGGGAGATTACACCCCACGTGTTGCCATTCCAGAAATCGAAGAGGTGTTCCCAATTGAGAGATTGAAGGCACGAATCACAAAATCAGCTAGGACCTTTGCTCCTTCTGGTGACAGAAATGACAAAAAGAGATCTAGCTTCTTTGAAGGAACATTGAGGCGGAGCTTCCGAGGTGGTTCTGTCGGCAAGATGAAATCTGAGGATGAGCAGATGATCGACATGTGGGTTAAGGAGGAGATTTCATCAACTAGAACCAATATTATTAACAAGTGGAAAAAGATGCAAGGAATGACCCAAGAGCAGGTTATGATTAAATACATGGCTCTGATCAATGAATGGCCTGGATATGGCTCAACTTTATTTGATGTGGAGGTAAGTGCAAGCATTTCATTTATTGAGGTCCATGCACACAATGTTGTAGTGGTTGCTTTAAATCTAACACACCTTACATCAAACGCATGACAACAATTAAGTAATCGTAGTTCCTTCAGAAAGTGCTTTTTTAATTAAATTTAAACATTTTGCATCTATTTGTTACATATTCATCAGACCCAGCATATGATCATTCCAGTATAAAGCATGAAACAAGCCTGGTGCTTCTGAATTATGGCTTTTTCATTTTGCTGCCCTTTGTTGAGCCCATCATTATTGTTCTTTTATTTTTCTCATTTTTGGTTTGAACAATGAGTTGCAATTGAGAGTTGAGTTTTAAGTAGAGTTTATTTTAGAAAAGAGAGCAAAAGACTGATGTTTGCTGCCAAGATAATGTAGGTTAATTACTGCTGTAAGAACATTGGAGCTGAACTTGCACCAAGCTATCGTTATGCTCAGGGATTGGCAGCTGGTTGGACGTTGAATTGCTCAATCAATGGAGGATCCGTGCTGGCCAGCAAACCATTGAGAATGTTGGAAAGGAAACAGAAACTAAAGGGTGAGCTGGCTTTGACTAGGTTTTTGGGCAGAAGACAGAGTGCTGCTTTGGAAGCTGCATAACTAGGTTGTTTGGTTTTGTTTTTGCTAGCTAATTTCCAGTTATTGACTTATTGAAAGTCCTGAGAAAAACACTTCAGTCTATAAGAAATCAGGAAAAGTCTCCAGAGATCTCAGAAGGCTGTTTGAGTTGACCAGTAATTTCGGAACTCGAGCAAGATACAATCCTAAAAGCCTGCTATTCAACCCATTGGATTTCATGAACTCTTAGTATCCGTTGGTTAAATGCTTATCAAACTGGCAACTTCTTCTTTTTCAGTTTATCCCTTAACTGTCTGTCTGTCAGTGTATAAGTGGGAGGGTTGGTGATTGGAGGGCTTAGATTGTAAATATTAATTAGATTGCCTTGTGGTTCATCTGGTTCTGCTAAAGTTACTATAGGAGTATTAAGTTATCAACTTTTGTTTAAGTTAGGAACTTCCTGGTCAAAATCAGTTATTTGTGAAATCTAGTTAGAATCAACTAAGCAATTTTGAGGGTCATTGAATGTTTTCATTTCACTGTGTTCCGAATCCAGTGTTAGCACATTTAATTTGGTCAGGCATGCTATCCCTGTGTAGTCAAACATTTTTCACACTTTAGTGAGCTAACTCCAAAAAACCTTTTCCTTCCCATAGTTTATGGAACAGACAGAATAGATCCATCCTAATCTCATTTTTTTGCAGTGCAGAGAAGGTGGTTTCCCACAAGAGCTCTGGCTAGGAGTTTGTGCTGAATCAGTTTCTGTCTACAAACGTGGAGAGGCCAAACCTCTGGAGACTTTCCCATATGAAAGTATCCAATCATTTGGAGCTCCTCAGTCAACCATGTATAAAATAGTGGTGGATGAAAGGGACTTGCTATTTGACAGTACAGAGGTAAGCAAATCCTGGAGTGTAAATGAATTAAATTGAATACTTGTTATTGCATTTACAGATTGTTATTTAAGGATGTTTTAGTATTTTACTGAGTTTTTACACAGCACGATAGAAATAAAGTAAATGCAAGGCACTTGTAGTTCCAGAGTTTGTCAGATTCATTTGATATTTGACCTAAAAGTGATTCAGGCTCATCCCTTTTCTTTTCCTTACCTGCATTAGGAGATAATGAACAAAGAAACACCTTAACCACAACAAATGAACTGCTCATTGGTAAAAAATAATAGATCAGTTATTCTGCTAATTTAAGCTAACTAACAAAAATGAGGAATACTAAATATTTAGCAAGTCAGCAAGCATCTTTGGAGAGAGAAACAGAATTTCAGGTCATGGTAAAGTGGCACTCTGGTTTACATGGCAAAACTGTTTAACTGGCTCTGGAAAGAAAGGCCCAAGTGTACAGTTGAACGTAATAGCTGCACCGCACAAGTTCCCACTTTAAGCTGAGATGTTTATCTCTGGTCCAGCAAGGGCACAAATGATGCAATTTGTTTCAAAGCTCTGGATTCCTATAATTGATGTGGAACAATGATTTAATTAACCTGACAGGGTTCTTGCCCACTGGTGAGGGTGCTGGCAGGGCATTATTGTCAATTCCATAGAAATGACCTGATAATATTAAGTGCCCTTCAGCACTTAAGCTGACACCCTAACCCCTCCTGGATATTCAGGATTCCAGAGTCAGAAGTCATGCCTACTGAAAGCCAAATAGGTAGGAAGCTCCTTATTACTGCCAGCAGCACCAGCAGCGGTGGCAGCTATCGGCATCCACCAGTGGACTAGGCCAAAGGAGACTGAGGACAAAACTGAGAATCAAAAGGTGGAGATTGTAGGAGAGACAGATGTATGGGATTTGAAGGTAATAACGCCCCTACCCTGACAAATGCTATAGGGTTTGTTAAGAGGTCTACAGGAGACATGGAAGAACCATACACTTAGCAGCCCATGTAGCCACTTACAATCTGATCAGGGCCACAAAGTCAAATCTATTTCCTCCAGTTAATTATCGGGAAGATTGATGAGGAAGCAGCCGGAGTATGGGTCTATGTTGGGCAACTTTCAAAGATGTGAACAAGGCACAGTGGGCCAGAAATCCAAGGAGTGAGTGGGGAGCAGAGAAAGGGTTCAGTCAAATCAGTCAATCTCATCTGTTATTAAATGCCATTTAATTTATAAATTGAAGTGACAGAATTTTACTTCTCAGAACTGAAACAAGAATGTTGCTACTTCAGTTTAGGCTTCCATGTTTTCTGTTAAGACCTAAGTTACATTTTCCCTGGACTAGTAGTTAAAACCAGTAGGATGCTTTCAATTGTGCCCATAAGGATGCAACACTGTGTTGCCTGTGATACCAATTTTTCATATTAATTAAACTAAACCAACCCAATTAATTGCTGATCACATGAATTGTCCTTCTGACCAAAGGTAGTATAAATTATTGTCTCTCCCCAAGTGCTGTGCCATCTCTTCATCTCATTGCCCACTTACTAAATAGCCGAACCTATCTCACTGAAGTTATAAATTGTCGACCCATCCCCAGTTATTGAATGGAATGGTCTTTTTATTTCATTCTGTCATGGGTTGTGGGTGTCACTAACTAGTCTGGTATTTAATGCCATCACTATTTGCTGTTGAGAAGGTGGTGATTAGCCTCTTTCATGAACAGCTGCAGTCCAAGTGGTGTAAGTAAATCCCTTATACTTAAGGGATCTTGTGCAGGGGTAGTGTCCCTACCCCGTGGACTAGGAGGCCCTGGGCTCAAGTTCCAGCTGCCAAAGAAGTGTAAAATAACATCTCTGAACAGGTTGACTAGAAAAATATTTTAAACTTAAATTAAAATCACAGTGCTATCAAGGGATCATGTGGTGCAGTAGAAGTGTCCCAATCCCTCTGCCAAGAGACCCGTGTTCAAGTTGGAGGCAATAACCTAGTGGTATTAGTGAAGTTTTTGGATTAATACTCTAATAATAATGTTCTGGCAATACTGGTTCAAATCCTGGCATGGCAGATGATGAAATTTGAATTCAATAAGAAATAAAGCTGGAATTAAGAATCCACTGATGACCATGAAACCATTGTTGATTGTTGGGAAAAACCCCTGTCTGACTCATTAACGTCCTTTGAGGAAGGAAATCTGCCATCCTCACCTGGTCTGGCTACATGTGACTCCAGACCTACAGCAATGCATGGTTGACTCTCAACTGCCCTCTGAAAGGGGCAGCACAATGGGCTCGGTGGTTAGCACTGCTGCCTCTCAGCACCAGGAGCCTGGGTTAGACTCCAGTCTCGGGCGACAGTCTATATGGAGTTTGCACATTCTCCCCGTGTCTGCATAGGTTTTCTCTAGGTGCTCCCATTTCCTCCCACAGTCCAAAGATTAGGTGGATTGGCCATGCTAAATTTCCTATAGTGTCAGGCGATATGTAGTTAGGTGATTATCCATGGGAAATGCAGGGTTACAGGGATAGGCTCGGGGTTGGATCTCAGTAGGGATGTTCTTCGGAGGGTCAATGTGGATTCGATAGGCCAAATGGCCTGCTTTCACACAGTAGGGATTCTATGAAATGGCCTAGCAAACCACTCAGTTGTATCAATAACTAAAAAGTCTCATGTGGACTGCAGTAGTTCAAGAAGACTTTTCACCACCACTACCTGATGGAGAAAGTGAAGTCGCATGGGGTCCAGGGTGTATTAGCTAGATGGATACAGAACTGGCTGGGCAACAGGAGACAGAAGAGTTGTAGTGGAAGGGAGTTTCTCAAAATGGAGAACCGTGACCAGTGGTGTTCCACAGGGATCCGTGTTGGGACCACTGTTGTTTGTGATTGACATAAATGACCTGGAGTAAGGTATAGATGGTCTGATTAGCAAGTTTGCAGATGACACTAAGATTGGTGGAGTAGCAGATAGTGAAGGGGACTGTCGGAGAATGCAGCAGAATATAGACAGATTGGAGAGTTGGGCGGAGAAATGGCAGATGGAGTTCAATCCAGGCAAATGGGAGGTGATGCATTTTGGAAGATCCAATTCAAGAGCAAACTATACTGTAAATGGAAAAGCCCTGGGGAAAATTGATGCACAGAGATCTGGGTGTTCAGGTCCATTGTACCCTGAAGATGGCAACGCAGGTCAATAGAGTGGTCAAGAAGGCATATGGCATGCTTTCATTCATTGGACGGGGCGTTGAGGCGGGCACGATAGCATCATTTAAAATGTATCTAGACAGATACGTGAATGGGCAGGGAGCAGAGGGATACAGATCCTTAGAAAATAGGCAACAGGTTTAGATAGAGGATCTGGATCGGTGCAGGCTTGGAGGGCCGAAGGGCCTGTTCCTGTGCTGTAATTTTCTTTGCGCTTTGTTCTTTGTTCTACCTCAAGGGCAAATAGGAGTGGACAATGAATACCTGCCAGCAGGTGAATTTAACAAAACATCCCACCTGCTTCAGAGGTGGATAATAACATCGCTGAAGAGGTTGGTTAGAAATTATCCAGTTTACGGAGTGGATGTTGGGAAGATGCTTCCAATGGTAGGAGAGACTAGGACCCGAGGGCACAGCCTTAGAGTAAAGGGAAGACCTTTTAGAACGGAGATAAGGAGAAACTTCTTCAGCCAGAGAGTGGTGAATCTAAGGAATTCACTGCCACAGAAGGCTGTGGAGGCCAGGTCATTGAGTACATTTAAGACGGAGATAGATAGGTTCTTGATTATCAAGGGGATCAAGGGTTAGGGGGAGAAAGCAGGAGATTGGGGTTGAGGAACTTATCAGCCATGATTGAATGGCGGAGCAGTCTCAATGGGCCGAATAACCTAATTACTGCTCCTATGTCTTATGGTCTTTACGAGTATTATCCTCTCTTAGAGGATTTTTGTGGCATAGTGGGAATATCCCTATGTCTGAGCAAGGAGATGTGGGTCCTATCTCACCACCTTCAGAGGTGTGTAATAACTTTCCTGTACAGGTTGTTGAAAAATCAATATCCACTATGCTGTTGAGGGATCTTGTGGTGCAGTTGTAGGGTCCCTAGTTGTGAGCCAGGAGGACTTGATGTGTAATAACATTCCTGATCAGGTCGATTAGAAAATATCTTTGTGAGATAAGAATCTTTGCACATTTAAAGTAACATTTTTGGTAACGTTCTCCAAATTGCTGGGAGATCTTCCACATTTCTGGGTAGCTGTGTTGGAACAACTTGGTTAGAGTTGTGGCATGTTCTGGAGTCTCAGGTCTAAAGAACCATTGCTGAGAAGCTGTCGGGGTTTATAGATTTTCCAGTATCCAGTGCCTTCAGCCATTTCTTGATATCATGTGCCATGATTGAGTTGACTGAAGACCACCAAAGGGGGCCGAGATGAATCATCTGTAAAATTCTGGTTGAAATTGGTGCAAATGCTTCAGCCTTGTGTTTTCAATTTATGGACTGTCCTCTTCCAGTTAGTTGTTTGTTTGTCCATCACCTGGACGTCATAAGACTGCAAAGCTTTGTTCCTACCTGACAATTATGGGATCAAACATGTTCATCATGTTACGTGTTTGCTGTTTGGCATGCAAGTAGTCCTGTGTTGTAGCTTCACCAGACTGAGATGAGATCAAATTGAATTGTTCCCTCTTGTTGCAACTTATTGCAGACACAGAATCTAGCAGCTATGTCCTTTAGGACTTGTTAAGTAATGATGCTTTCAAGCCATTGTTGGCAGTGATAGAGAAGGCCCCTATCCAGAGTACATTCTGTGCTTTTGATGGTAGTCGTACTGTTTCTATGCCCATTTTTTACCTAATGCCATGAACTTCCTTGATGTTGAAGACTCCAGGACAGTCTCCCTGCCGACTTGTTCTGTCTCTTTTGGTGGAAATTTGCTGTTGTTGAGACAGGACATGCCCAAGGGTGATGGTGGTAGTGTCGCAACATTGTTATAATTACAGAATCAAGCCTTACACGCAAAGTCAGGCTTTTGTTTGATTAGTTTATAGGACAGCTCTCCTAGTTTTGATACAAGCCCTCTGAATTTTAGCAAGGAGTCATTTGCAGGGTCAGTGGAGGAGTGTGCTTTTGTCCATTTCATTTGTATAGATCCAGTTTTGTTCCTTTTAATTTTCTAACCTGTGGTTTGGCACAACATAGCTTTCTAGGCCTATACGGTAGAGTCAACTGAATTGCTGTGGGTCTGGGATCGCCTGAATGTCAGACTAAGTAAGGATATCAGAGTTCCTTTGCTAAAGGACATTAATGAGCCATATGGATTTTCACAACAATTGGCAATGGTTTCATTTGATTGCATTCTGAGTGCTTGACCTGATTGCTGCTGTCATTAAAATTGCCTCTTGTAAACTTCATATAAATCACCCAAACGCTGTCTCAGCTCATCTGCTGCTGAAATCCTCATTCATACTTTCATTATCTCTAACCTGCCTATTCCAATGCACTCTTGACTGGTTCTCCACTTTATAACCTTTCAAACTTGAGGTCATCAAAACTTTACCGTCTGTGTCTTAGCTCTCAGCATGTCCCATTCCCCTATTATGCTTAAGCTGACATGCATCAGTTCACAATTAGGCAAGCACTTGACTTTTAAAAATCTCATGCTTATTATTGCATCCCTCCAGCCCCATACACTCCAATAATTCTGACCATTGTGTATCCTCAATTTTAATTGCTTCACCATAGATAGTTATGCCTTCCATTGTATGTACTGTGAGCTCTGAAATAATTTTCTGTCTCACCTTCCTAGAGTCATAGAGTCATGCAGCATAGGAATGGTCCTTTGGCCCATTGTGCCTATGCCAACCAACAAATTGCAAACTATACTAATCCCATTTACCTGCACTTGGCCTATAGCCTACTATGACCTAGCATTTTAAAAGCTCATCCCAAAATGCTGCTTACATGTGAGAGTAGCTTCCACAACTACAGGCTGTGTGTTCCTTAGTTCTATTACCTGACGAATGAAAACAGAAATTTTTTCAGATCCCCTCTTAAACCACTTGCTCCTCACTTTAAACTTATGCCCTCTGGTTTTAGACATTTTTGCCATGGGGAAAAGCTTCTCACAATCTACTCTATCTATGCCTGTCATAATTTTGTACACTTCAATCAGATCCCTCCTCCGTCTCCTCTGCTCCAGGGAAGACAAATCCAGCCTATCCAGTCTCTAAGGTTTTGGAGTAGATTTGTAGCTCGAGTTGTGGTTGGTTGGCTCACCGAGCTGGTTTGTTGTTCCACAGACGTTTCATTACCCTGCTGGGTAACATCATCAGTGCAGCCTCCGATGAAGCGCCGGTGTGTTTTCCCGCCTGGTTTTTAAACTCTAGAATCCGCTGAGCTGGATTGCCTCACTTCCGGTTTTCCTTCGTAGTGGAGTGTATATGGGGTCGAGTTCTATGTGTTTATTGATGGCTTTCTTCGTGGAGTACCAGGCTTCTAGGAATTCCCGTGCCTGTTTCTACTTAGCTTGTCCCAGGATTTTAGTGTTGTCCCAGTCGAATTGGTGGTTCTCCTTATCCATGTGGATAGAGATGAGTGAGTATTGGTCGTGTCTTTTCTTAGCCAGTTGGTGTTCGTGTACCTTTGTTGTTAGTTTCCTTCCTGTTTGTCCGATGTAGTGTTTCTCACAGTCTCTGCAGGGAATGTTATAGATGACATTGGTCCTGTCCATAGTGGGGAGTGGGTCTTTGGTTCGGGTGAGCAGTTGTCATAGGGTTGATGTGGGTTTGTGTGCCACTCTGATGCCCAGCGGTCGTAGGAGTCTTGTGGTTAGTTCCGATGCGTTCCTGATGTAAGGTAGTGTGATGAGTGTGTCGGGGTGTGTAGTATCTTCCTGATGTTGTTTGTATAGGTATCTTCTGACCCAGTTTTTGGATATCCATTATCTTTGAAAACCTGGAAGAGGTATTCTTCCTCTCGGCATAGTTCTGTGTTGTTGCAGTGTGTTGTTGCCCGTTTAAATAGTGTTCACATGCAGCTTCGTTTGTGTGTGTTAGGATGGTTACTGTTGAAGTTCGTGTACCTGGTCCATGTGTGTGGCTTTTCTGTGTACTTTCGTTTGGTGTTCCTCATTTGTCTTGTGCTCTACCCTGATGTTCTTCTCCTCCTCTCTGGTGAATTTGATTCTGGTGAGGGTGTTGTTTATTAGTTTGTGTGTCTCCTCTAGTTTGGTCTGTTTAATGATGACAAAGGTGTCGTCCATGTAGCATATCCATAGTTTTGGTTGGATTAGCGGAAGGGTCAACCTTTCCAGTCTTTGCATCGCTGCCTCGGCTGTAAGTCCGGAGATAGGTGATCCCATGGGTGTCCCGTTGATTTGTTCGTAAGTTTGGCCATTGAAAGTGAAGTGGGTGGTGAGGCATAGGTCCAGTGGTTTGAGCATGTTGTCTGTGGAGATGGTTGCACAGGGGTCTTGCCCTTGTTCTAGTAGTGCTGTCATTGTTTCCCTTGCTAGTGGTATGTCTATTGATGTGAATAGGGCAGTGACATCAAATGATATCATGGTCTCCTCGTCATCTGTCCTTATGTCTTTCATGGAATTGAGGAATTCTTGGGCTGAGTGGATTGAGTGGGGTGACTTGTTGACCATCGGGATTAACCACAAGACTCCTACGACCACTGGGCATCAGAGTGGCACATCAACCCTACGACAACTGCTCACCCGAACCAAAGACCCACTCCCCACTATGGACAGCACCAATGTCATCTATAACATTCCCTGCAGAGACTGTGAGAAACACTACATCGGACAAACAGGAAGGAAACTAACAACAAGGGTACACGAACACCAACTGGCTAAGAAAAGACACGACCAATACTCACTCATCTCTATCCACATGGATAAGGAGAACCACCAGTTCGACTGGGACAAGCTAAGTAGAAACAGGCACGGGAATTCCTAGAAGCCTGGTACTCCACGAAGAAAGCCATCAATAAACACATAGAACTCGACCCCATATACACTTCACTACGAAGGAAAACCGGAAGTGAGGCAATCCAGCTCAACGGATTCCAGAGTTTAAAAACCAGGCAGGAAAACACACCGGTGCTTCATCGGAGGCTGCACTGATGATGTTACCCAGCAGGGTAATGAAATGTCTGCAGAACAACAAACCAGCTCGGCAAGCCAACCAACTACAATTATCCAGTCTCTCCTCATAACTGACACTTTCCATCCCAGGCAACTTCCTGCTGAATCTACTATGCACCCTTTCCAGTGCAATCATGGCCTTCCTACAGTGTGGCAACTAAAAGTACGTGCAGTTTTTCCATCTGTGGCCTAACCAATGCTCTATAAAGTTGCAACAAGACTTTCCTGGTCCTGTATTCCATGCCCTAGCTAATGAATGCCTTATTCACCACTCTATTGACAGTGCTACACTTCTTTAGGAATCTATGGACTTAAAAACCAAGGCCCCCTTGTTCCCAAGCGCACTCTACCATTCATTGTGTAAATTCCCTCCAAAATGCACCAGGATTAAATTCCATCTGCTGTTGCTCTGGCCACTTTACTTCCTCCTTGAAGACAGTCCTCAAAGAGTTCCTCTTTGACCTGTAGCTTTTTGGTATCTAACCTAGTAACTTCTTATATGACTATGCCATGCATTGTCAATGCTCCTGTGAAGTGTCTTGAGATATTCAAAAAGCTAAGAAGCATTTGCAACAGTGTGATGAAGTGTGATACACTTAATTATTTTAAATTCATTCACAAGATGTGGACATAACTGTCAAGGCCAGTACGTATTGCACATCTCTAATTATCAAAAGGATAGTTCAGAGTCAACTGCATTGTGGGTCTGGAGTCACATGTAGGCCAGACCAGGTAAGGTTGGCAGATTTTCTTCCCTAAAGTACATTTGTGAATCAGATGGATTTTTATGACAATCATCAATGGTTTCATGGTATTTATTAGATTTTTAATCCCATACTTTTTAATAATGTAGGACAAAGCAGGAGAGTTAAATATATAATCCTCAATTTTAGATATTTGTCTTTTCAATTGCATTTTATTTTGGTTCACAGGTAGTGGAGCTTGCCAAACTGATGAAAGCTTATATCAGTATGATAGTAAAAAAGCGGTACAGTACTTCATATACAACGAGCAGTTGGGGAAATCAATGTGCCAACAGGTGAAATTGGTTCTACTTATGAAGTTTCTTCAATGAATAATTTCCTCTCCTATTCTTGTGCCTGTCAATTACATACTTTCAATGATAAAGTTTTCAATACAACCCATAATTGTGGAATAAAGTAGCAAGTTCTGTTTTGAAGTAGTAAACATTTATCCTGCTATTATGAGAAATGTTCAACAAGGACTTGACAATCGCAAAAAAAATATTTTTGTCACAGCTTTTCAGACCTCCAATCCTTAATCAGTGTGGATACTTTGTCATGACATGCACTACTGTGTATTAAGCAGAAAATAGTGCCTTACAGTAAGAACTAATCTTTCTATTAATTTTAAGCATTTCCTAGGATGAAGAAATTTGAGTTGGAGAGAGAGCAACTTTAAACATTAAACTATTTGAGTGTTAAATAGCTATAATTGGATATCCATATTACATTTGTCCTTCAAGAAATCACATCCTCACAATGGTGTTGCCCGAAAAGTAAAGACTACACATGGAGCAACTTATGGTCAAACTTGTTAGCTACTTTTTGTGCACTAAAATAATACCTTGTCCTGAGAATAATGGTCATAAATATTTGGAATACTGCTGGCAGCCTTCCGAAAGAACTGCAATGATATTTTCCATTATTAATCTATATTTCACAATTATTTTGCTAAGAGAAATTTAATATGCAATGTTATTTACTGTGTATGTCTGTTTTTTCAGGAGCAACGTTAGTTAATGTTTTCATCCGGACTATTTGAATTAAGCATTTGTTTTTGATGTAGCTATCCTAAATAAAATATTTATAAAGTTTCAAATCATTTTGTTAAAATTGAAGGTATAAAACATTACATAAAGGACAAAGAATATCTGTGTGTTTTTGTTTTTGCCAATACCTTGAGCAATGACCCAAAATGACTTGTTACAACAAGAGTTATAAATTGAGCTCCAACTTGAATAAGAGCTACACCATTTGTTTCGATTAGGATCCAAAAATGCTTCGTGGGCATGTAAGAAAACAATGCTGATCCAAAGGAGAGATTTAGAAGTGAGAAGATGAGACCTGGAAAGGCAGAGATGGAGAGAGACAGAGAGAGAGAGAGAGGGCGAGGGACCCAGAGAGACATAGAAAGAGAGAACAAGAGGGTCCCGGAGACACAGTGACAGAAAGCGAGAGAGAAGGGCCCGGGCAGACATGGAGCGAGAGTGAGACGGAGGGAGCTGGAAAGACAGAGGGTGGGATGAAGATAAAGCGAAAAATGGACCTGGAGAGGAGGAGAGTGGAACCTGGAGAGACCGTGTTAGAGAGCACGAGAGCGTGGGACCCGGAGAGACAGAGGGACACAACGAGGCAGAGTAAGGGAGACAAAGATAGAGATATAAAGATAGAGTGACCGAGGGGGCCACAGAAAGAAAAATAGACCAAAGAGACAGAGCTAAACAGACCAAGAAAGAGTAAGAGGGACCAAGAAAGGAGGACGTGGAGAGACAGAGAGAGAGAGTGGGGTGTGGGGCGAGAAGGGGGCACGGAGCAACAGCGAAATGGACCAGAGAGACAGAGAGAACGGTAGGGACAGATGGGGCATGCAGAGGCAGAAAGAGGGAGGGAGGGAGGAACCTGGAGAGTGGAGGGGGGAGGACCAGGGAGACCGAGAGAGAGAGGGTGAGCCAAAGAGAGGGAAAGGCACAGAGAGTGGCAGAAGGACCCAGAGAGAGAAAGAGTGAGAGAGATGGACCTTGGCAGGCAGACAGGGAGAGTGAGACATAGGAACCTGGAGATGCAGAGACAATGAGGAGGGTTGTGGGGATGGGGCTGGGGGGAGGGGAGGTGATTTGCACATGGAGAGATACTGAAAAATAGACCCGGAGACAGCGAGAGAGATGGATCCATAAAGAGATGGGGTTGAGGAACGTATGTAGAGAGACAGAAAGACAGAGTGAAGGACCCGGTGAAGATGGAGATGGGGAGAGAGAATGGGTTGTGGGCGGGGGGGCACGGGAAACGGAGAGATACAGAGACAGAAGGACTAGGAGACAGGGGGAGAGAGGGACAAAAGGACCGGGGGTGGGGGAGGTGGGGGGAGGAGAGGCAAGGACCAAGTGTGTGTGTGTGTGTGTGTGTGTGTGTGGGGTGGGGGGGAGGGATGGCGGGTTGTCGGGGGGAGGGTGAAAAGAAAGAGAGAGAAAATGACTGGGAGGAGGGAGAGAGAAAAGGACCCGGGGAGGCGGGGTTGAGAGAGAGAGAGAGAGAAAAGGACCTGGGGAAGAGGGTTCGAGAGAGAGAGAGAGAGAAAAGGACCCGGGGAGGGTGGTATCAAGAAACAGAGAGAGAGAGAGAGACAGAAACAGAAAAAAGGACCTGGGTGGAGGAAGAGAGAGAAAGAAAAGGGCCCGGGGGAGAGCAGGAGAGGAAGAAAGGACCTGGGGGAGAGAAAGAGCGAAAGAGAGAAATGGACCTGGGGGGAAGAGGGAGAGTGAGAGTGAGAAAAGGACCCGGGGAGGGGTTTGAGAGAGAGAAAGGAAAGGACCCAGGGAGGGGATCAAGATAGAGAGAGATAAAGAAAAGGACCCGGGGAAGGGGGTCAAGAGAGATTGAGAGAAAAGACTCAGCACAGGAGAGAGACAGAGAGTGAAAAGGACCCGGGGAGAGAGAGAGCGAGACAGAGAGAGAAAAATAACGACCCGGGGAAGTGGGACTGAGAGAGAGTGAGAGAAAAGGACCCGGGGAGGGGGGTCAGGAGAGAGAGAGAAAGAAAAAGGGAGGGGGCCGGGGAGGGGGGAGAGGGAGAGAGAGAGTGTGAGAGAAAAAAGGACCCAGGGTAGGGGGGGTCGAGAGAGAGAGAGTGAGAGACAGGTACCCGCAGAGGGAATGTCAAGGGAGAGAGAGAGTGAGAGAGTAAAGGACCCGGGGAGGGGGGAGAGAGAGAGAGAAAGAAAAGGACCCGGGGTGGGGGGGGCGTCGAGAGAGAGAGAGAAAAGTCAAACCCACCTTCTACAGACACCTTTGCCCACCTCCCACACACCCCTTTCTCCTGGACAACAACCCAAGGCCTGCTACCCTCCCTCGACCTCTTTATATCCAACTGCCATCGCGACATCAATCACCTCAACCTCTCCGCCCCCTCACTCACTGCAACCTCTCCCCCACAGAACATGCAGCCCTCCGCTCCAAACCTAACCTCACTATCAAACCCGCGGACAAGGGAGGCGCAGTTGTGGTACGGCGCACTGACCTTTACATCGCCGAAGCCAGGCGCCAGCTCTTTGACACCTCCTCCTACCGCCCCCTTGATCATGACCCCACCCCTCACTACCAAACCATCATCTCAGGTTACCTCCCACCCACAGCCTCCAACCTCACTGTTCCCCAACCCCACACCGCCTGTTTCTATCACCTTCTCAAAATCCATAAACCCGACTGCCCTGGTTGACCCATTGTCTCTGCCTGCTCCTGCCCCACTGAACTTATCTCCGCTCATCTCAACTCTATTTTCTCCCCCCTGGTCCAGGAACTCCCCACCTAAATCCCGGACACCACCCACGCTCCTCATCTCCTCCAAAACTTCCGACTCCCTGGCCCCAACACCTCATCTTCACTATGGATGTCCAATTCTTGTATACTTGCATTCCCCATGCAGATGGCCTAAAAGTCCTCCGCTCCTTCCTCTCCTGCAGGCCCAACCAGTCCCCCTCCACCAACACCCTTATCCGCCTAACTGAACTCGTCCTTACCCTTAACAATTTCTCCTTCAACTCTTCCCACTTCCTACAGACGAAAGGGATGGCCATAGGTACCCGCATGGGACCAAGCTATGCTGCCTCTTTGTAGGATATGTGGAACAGTCCCTCTTCCGCAGCTCCACTGGCACCATCCCCCACCTCTTCCTCTGCTACATCGATGACTGTCGGCGCCGCCTCGTACTCCCATGAAGAGCTCGAACAGTTCATCAACTTTACTAACACCTTTCAGCCCAATCTCAAGTTCACCTGGACATCTATGATACCTCTCTCTCCTTCCTGGACCTCTCTGTCTCCATCTCTGGTGACCACCTCGAAACTGATATCTATTTCAAGCCCACCGACTCCCTCAGCTACCTAGACTACACCTCCTCTCATCCACCTTCCGGCAAGAATGCGATCCCCTACTCCCAATTCCTCTGCCTCCGCCACGTCTGCTCCCAAGATGAGGTGTTCCACTCCCGAACATCCCAGATGTCCTCGTATTTCAAGGACTGCAACTTTGCCCCCTCAGTGGTCAAAAACGCCCTCGATTGCATCTCTTGTGTTTCCCGTACCTCAGCCCTCACACACCCTCCCTGCAATAAGAACAAAGACAGAATTCCCCTTGTCCTCACATATCATCCCATTAACCTCTGGATTCAACGCGTCATTCTCCGCCACTTCTGCCACCTGCAATCTGACCCTACTATGAAGGATATATTTCTCTCCCCACCCTTATCTGCCTTCCGGAGGGACCACTCTCTCCGCAACTCCCTCATCCGCTCCACACTCCCCAGTAGCCCCACCACCCCCGGCACCTGGTGTAGCACACCTACATCTCCCCCCTCACCTCCATCCCAGGCCCCAAAAAAACCTTCCATATCAAACAGATGTTCACCCGCACATCCGCTAATGTGATATATTGTATCTGCTGTTCCCGATGTAGAGGAGGCCACATCGGTGAGACCAAGTGGAGGCTCAGAGACCGCTTTGTAGAGCACCTATGCTCCATTTGCGACAAACGACAACACCTCCCAGTCGCAAACCACTTCAACTCCTGTTCCACTCCCTGGATGACATGTCCATCCTGGGCCTCCTCCAGTGTCACAACGACGCCACCTGGAAACAGGAGTAACAGTACCTCATATTCTGTCTTGGAAGCCTACAACCCAATGGTATCAATGTGGACTTTACTAGCTTCAAAATCTCCCCACCCCCGACCTCACCCAAGACCAGCGCCTCTTCTCATTCCTACCTCATTGACCTGTCCATCTTCCCTCCCACCTATCGGCTCCTCCCACCTACTGACCAATCCCCACAACTTCGTACCTACACACCTTTACTAGCTTCATTCCCGCCTCCTTGACCTGTCCGTCTTCTCTCCCACCCTATCTGCTCCACTATCCATCTACTATCACCGCTCCCCCCTATTTATTTCAGAGCACCCTTACCCTCCCCCATTTCTGAAGAAGGGTCCCGACCCGAAACGTCAGCTTTCCTGCTCCTCTGATGCTGCCTGGCCTGCTGAATTCCTCCAGCTCCACATTGTTATGTCAGACTCCAGCATCGGCAGTTCTTACTATCTTTAGAGAGAGAAAAGGACCTGGGGAGAGAGAGAGAGAAAAAAATAAGGATCCGGGGAGGGGTTCGAGAGAGAGAGAAAGATAAGGACCTGGGGAGGGGGGCGAGAGAGAGAGAAAAGACTCGGGGGAGAAGGAGAGAGAGAGAGAGAGAAAGAAGGATCCGGGGATAGAGAGAAAAAAGTACCCAGGGAGGGAGGGTCAAGGGAGAGAGACAGAGAGAGAAAAGGACCCGGGGGGAGAGAGAGAGAAAAATAAGGACCCAGGGAGGGGTTCAAGAGAGACAGAGACAGAGAAATGGACCCGGTGGGGGGTTGGTTGTGGTGGTGGGGAGAGAGAGAGATTTGGACCCGGGAAGGGAGCAAGAGAGAGAGAAAAAAATAAGGGCCGGGGGAGGGGTTCGAGAGAGAGAGAGAAAAAAGGACC